AAGTTCAAGATTTTCAATCAAAATCATTAAATTTTCCTCCAAAATATTTTGATATGCTGCAACATTCATCCTAACATCTATTACTGATATGTTACTAGTATCTTTTGCAGAAAAACATCCCCAAACCATGATGCTGCCACCACCGAATTTCACTGTTGGAATTGTGTTTTGTTTGAAGGAATCGCCATCTTTCCACCAGATATGATTTCTAGAATTACATCCAAACAACTCAATTTTGTTTTTGTTTGTCCATAATACTCTTTTCTAAAACAATTTTTCCTTATCCTTATATTCATGAACTAATTTCAACCTTGCATCTCTGTGTCTTTTCAATAGCAATGGAGTTTTCTGAGAGGAGTGTGTCTTTAGATTGTTCCTATGTTGATGAATTTCATTGCTTATTGTCCATTTAGTAACACAGATTCCTGATGAAAGCAAATCATCCTGCAACTCTTGATGAGTAACTATTGGATTTTGTTTAATTTGACACAATTTCCTCAAAGATCTTGAAGAAATCTTCATGGAACACCTGTTCTTCTTTGGTTTTCAACAGTTTTGAGTTTTTTATACTTTGCAATGAATGAACTAATGGTATTAAATGGAATATTCAGGTTGTCTGAGATTTTCCTGTAACTTTTATCTTCTTCCCAGAGCTTAACAATCAGTACTTTTTGAAAATTTGTCAATTCTTTACCCCTTGCCATGATGGTAACCTTCTTGCAGGAATATCAATTACAGAATGTTCTGTTTGTATTTTTTAGGCTAAAAATAATTACTAACATTATTGACACATTCTAGAAAATTCCACTTGAATAATCTAGAGTATGTTTTCTATTTGTATGTGTATGAATATTTGTTTCCCCAACACTGTATATATATATATATATATATATATATATATATATATATATATATATATATATAGATAATAGATAGATAGATAGATAGATATTTAACATTTGCTATGTATAAAGTCAATTTAATGTTTACTATGTATAAAGTCAATTTAATGTTTGCTACATACAAAATCAATTTAATTATGAGTTACGTCATTCATAATTGATACAACAATAGTTAATAAAAATGAACACACTACTACCCCTGTCTGAATGATTGGATTTCTCTGTATCCTTGGAAACAGTAAATTATGAATTTATATGTGTGTTTAAAACTCAGTAAATTTAAAAATAAATTATTCCAATATTTGCTTAAAGATGAAACGGAACTAATGCTTTTAATTTAATTATATAATTAAATTTAAAGTTTTTAGCTTCCATTTTTGAAACATGGTTATTACTGTGTAGTGAAAAAACATATTTTAAATCAGTTAATTTATAATATTTATGCTCTGAAAATTTACATTGATCACTGTTTTGTAAAAATAAAAATAAAAACTATCAATAAGAACACTGGATTATATATCTTACTGTTCTTTCTTTTTATTTATTTATATATATATATATATATATATATATATATTGCTCTTGTTTATGCAGTACTTAGTAGAAAGTACTCAATATCAGTGATAGAGCTAACATATTCTGTTGTATGGATATGAATTTGTGAACCTGGGTTTCACGTTTTTGCAATTATCAGACATAAAATAATGTATATAATGTTTTTGATGTGTGTTTAGAGTCGATAATATTGTTATTAGTAAACAATTTATTAGATAAGTATTGGCATCTGAAGTGGTATTGGATTTATGTTTCTTCCTAATTATATCTCCGATTGTCCTTGACGTGTTAGTAAAGATCCTAGTATTAAGGATAACTAATATTTTACAAGTTGTGTAGAAAGAATGTTAGAAAGTAGGACTATGAATTTTGTGTTGTTGATGGAAGTGCTATTGGTGGTGTCTAGATTTTTGGATTTCTGGATTTTATAAGCTCTTTTTCTAGCATTGAGGAAAATTATTGTGTCTTTGTTGGTTTTTTGCTTGTTGATTTGGGAACATTTTACATATATCTAATTGTTTTAGATCAACATACGTAAGATTCTTTAAGAATGGATTCAATAAAGGTTGGTGATCTATTATAATGTTTTTGATGTGTGTTTACAGTTGGTAATACTGTTATTATTAGGCTCTCAGTACTTTCTATGTGAAGTATTATGTTCTTTTTTTTTAATTAATATAGCATTTGTAAAATCAAAGTTATGGCTAGTTTTCTTTCTGTGTATTACGAGAGAGTTTGAATTGTCTAAACATAAATTTCTTTTATATTCATAGATACAGGCTATTAGATCTCATGATGTCTCTGATATAAATTCTTTTACATTGTAAACAATTTATTTGATAAGTAAGTACCACCATCTGAATTGGTGCTAGACTTATTTTTCTTCTTAATTCCATCACCGATTTTCTTGGACATGGTAGTAAAGATCCAAGTATTAAGCATAACTAATTTATTTACAAGTTTAATAGAAAAAGTGTTATAGGGTAGGGTTATGTATTTTGTGTTGTTGTTAAAAGTGGTAGTGTGTGGTTTTTGCAATTTGTATCTACGAACATAAGAGATTTACGTTTAGAGAACCATTCGAATTATCTCGTAATACACCGAAACAAAATTGGCCATAACTTTGATTTTATTAATACTACTCTAATTAAAAAAGAACATTATTCTTTACGAATCCTAATAATAACAATTTTACGGGCTGTTAACATGGAGAAGGCCAATAGTAAATTTAAAAACCCTGCCAAATTGAAAGCCCGAGTTCATCGGTCAATAGTGAAAATTCCTAACATAAAAAAAACACGCGCAAAACGCTGTATCAATAAAAACAATGAGTACATCCAAACGATAACAAAGTTTGGTGGAGCTGGTTGAATATTTGTTTCTTTTCTTTCCTCATCGTGTTTTGGTCTCTCTGCAGGAATATTTATTATTTCTAAGTTAATTAATATTTATTATTAGATATTATTTAATTAAGTACCGGCATCTGAATTACTGTTGGACTTATATTTCTTGTTAATTCTATCTCCGATTGTCTTGGATGTGGTGGTAAAGATCATAGTATTAAGGATAACTAATTTATTTACAAGTTTAGTAGAAAGAGTGTTAGAGGGTAGGATTATGTATTTTGTGCTGTTGTTAAAAGTGCTATCTGTGGGGTGTGGTTTTTTGGATCTGTGGATTTTGTAAGCTTGTTTTCTAGCATTGATAATGAAATAATGTGGCTAGTGAAAAAGACTAAATGTTTTCTCAATATATTTCTCTTCTTTACTTATGTATTCTGGGTTAAATATCCTAAGCATTCCGATTTAGAACTCTATGAATCATCCTGATTTTATTTTTTTTTTTATTGTGGTGCGAATAGAAATTAATTAGATCGTTTTTGTTAGTGGGTTTACAATAAACTTTAAAATCTAATTTGATATTGTTACATATTATTCATACAATATTATTATTTATTATTTAATATTGTTAATTATTAACAAGATTTTGAGAAAAGCTAGATATTTGCTTATTTCAAATTCATGTGTGAATTCAATGATAGGTTTAACCTATTACGTTTCTTTATTAAGTCTAATATATTTATATTATGAGGATATAATATCATAGTCGAATACATGATTGACCAATAAAAATCAAACAAAACAAAATTAAAATTTCTTTCTTCTTTTTCTAATAAAGCTTTAATTCAAGTGAAACAAGTTAGATTGATGAATGTTTCCTATTTATTCTTTAATCTTATCATTCTGTCGGACTATGATCCGCATTTGATCCTATCTATCTATATATATATCCTTTTCTCACACCAATTTTGATATTATAATTTCTTTCTTCTTTTTCTCCTTATCTCATTCTCTGATGAAGCTTTAATAAAAGTGAAACATGTTAGATTGATAAACCTTTCCTATTTGTTCTTTATCTTATCATTCTGTCAGATTCTGATCCATATTTGATCCCAACTCATATATATGTATGGGTGCTTCTAAATAACCAATGGATTTTTACTCCTCCAAACCTTATTTGTAAATACCTATTTCTGAGAAGATGTGTGAATCTAGAGACTTCTTCATTCGAGAGACTTGACAAAGAAACTATGCTCTCCAGCAGGGTTCAAACAGGCACCCCTCTTTTTAGGAGAAACAGCCATCTGACATGGTGTGCTTTAGACCACTCAGCCACGGAGGGCCTCACGGATCTAGGTAAATTGCTTGAAATCAATTGCTCAAAAAATAATTTCTCGAACTATCAATAGCTCAAAAGGCAGATTGCTCGAAGTAATTTCGAAGCTCGAAGCCCCACGTAAACTGCGCCGTCTCACGACACGTCAACAGAGCTGGATATAAAAGGAGCCACAACATTCAACTTTAGCAGTCCTGATTTTTTTTTTCTATATTTATTTTCTATTTCTATTTCAGTAATTTTGGAGATCTCGAACCCTAGTGATGGACATAACTTTTGTTGAGAGCGAAAAAGGAAAGAAGAAGTTGTGTTTAGATGGATATCTATATATTAAGGACAAAACAGTGAACAATAAGATTTACTGGAAATGTGAAATGTGCAAATAAAGGAAATGCTTAGCATGTGTTTTATTTTTTTTTAACCACAGGTTTCTAACAAACCGCCTTTTGAGAAAAAAAATAAGACCTGCTCTATAAATGTACTCGTTCTTTAATTTTAATTGTTCAGTTAACACCAATAAAGTTGTATTATTTTATCTTATAGTAAATTTTAGAACAATGTACTTTTATTTTTTTTAACCACAGGTTTTGAGAAAAATGCCTTTCAAGCAATTGATAATTTGAGAAATTATTTTTTGAGCAATTGATTTTGAGAAATTTACCGTCAAGCAATTGATTTTGAGCAATTTACCGGATACTGGGCCTCACAGCACAGCCCAAGGTAGAATTACCCTTTCGAATAATTTACATCCTCTCATTATCCCATCTATATTTCTATATATATCTATATCTATGTATGTATGTATGTATGTATATATATATATATACATAGATAGATAGATATTTTTAAGAAGCAGGAAAACAAAATCTAAAAGTAAGAGGGAAAAAGTAAGAGAACAAAAATAGAAAAAGTTAGAGAGAAAAAGCAAGAGTGAAAAATAATAATAACAGAAAAGAAATTAAAATGGAGGAAAGAGAAAAAAAGAAAAATGATAAAAAAAGGGGGAAAGAGAAAAAAAGAAAAAGAGAGAAAAAAAACAAAGGGAGAGAGAACAAATGAGTGAAAAAAAAAAATCAAATGAAGAAAGAGACAGGAACATGTCAAGACAACATTAGCACATTGGAAATCTGACACCAGTTAAAGTAATTAAAATAATGATTATTTACCCATGGACTTTTTCCTATATATAATTTATTTTAGGATATTACATTGGAAAACATATCAAAATCACTACACAATTGCAGTTGTGTTTCGATATGTATCAATACATCTCATCAGGTGATTATAAATTACTGGCAAGTGAACTATTTATTTAGGTTTAAGTCTAAATTACAGGTGAGTGAACAATTTATTTTGATTTAAATTTAAATCAATCATTCACTCACCAATAATTTACAATTGCTTGATGAGATGCGTTGATACATATCAAAGCACAGCTGCAATGATGTAGTGATTTTGCTATGTTTTTCGATGTAATAAAATAAAGAATATTGCTCTATTTTGTATTGAGCAATCATTTAAATTAAATGTTATGAATGCTAGAATTGTACTCTACTCATTCTCATGTTACCTGGAGATATATATATATACAGGGTGTCCATAAAATTCGTGTGCGCTTTAAAAAATTTATAACTTTACTTATATTTGCGATAGAAATAATTTGTAAAAAGTATTAGAAAAAAGTAAATCTATATTTTTTAAGGTTTTATTGAAATTTTATTTAAGTTTACACATGTCCTCCATCATTACCAATACAAAGTGTAATACGATTTTGCAGTTCACGGAAAACATTTGCCAACTGATTTACAGTAATGCCTAAAATCACATTAGTTATTTTAGCTATACTTAAAACTAGGTACATTAAACTTTATAACATTTTTTACAGATTATTTCTATCACAAATACAAATAAAGTTATAAATTTTTTAAAGTGCACACGAACTTTATGAACACCATGTATGTGTGTGTATATATATATATATATATATATATATATATATAAAAGAACAAATAGGAAACATTTATCAATCTAACATGTTTTACTTTTATTAAAGCTTCATCAGAGAATGTTGAAACTTTAATAAAATTGAAACATGTTAGATTGACAAAAGTTTTCTATTTTTTTTTATCTTATCGTTCTGTTTGATTCTGATCCATATTTCATCCCAACTCATCATAACTATATAAATAATTTCATCCACTATGTGTTGTGTATGAATGTGTAGATACATTTCTCATTCTCAAACTATATATATAAATATTGACCCCTTGAATAACTAGTGTCTTATTTGCCTTCTTACTGAGTGGCCATCAGGCAAATTAGCATCTTGATATGAAAATGCAAAGTAAAAGTGTATTAAATAATCACTCCATCAAGAAGAAATTGCTCTCATTGACATTTACTGACACTTACTGAATATTTACAGAGATCAAACAATGGATGTGAGCACAGTTAAGATGTGTTGGATGCATTTCAGTGGTAATAGTGATGTGTATAATAGGCCATGTTTATAAGCATGGTATGGGCAAAATGCTAGAAAATGACTGTGTAAGGAAATAGTGTTTGGTCATTGAAAACTTGATCTATCCAAGGGTGTTATAATCTTCCCTGTATTTGTTCTAGTTTTCATAGAAATAGACAGGAGATATTGCTTTGGGAGTGTTGCTCAACTGCTTACAAACATTTTATGCACACACGCATACACACATACTATATATATATATATATATATATATATATATATATGTGAAGAAATATAGTCTTAAGATGTGCTATATTTATGGGATAAAGTGCTCAATATCAGAGATAGGCATTGTGTAAATATAAAAGTGAACATAGAAGTCAACACTTAGAGGCGACAGTCTGTTTCATGCCAGATGCAATCGTCAGGCCATGAGCACTCGTGGCCTGACGATTGCATCTAGCATGAAATAGACTGTCGCCTCTAAGTGTTGACTTCTATGTTCACTTTATATTTATATATATATATATATATATATATATATATATATATATATCAAAAGTACATATATATATATATATATATATCAAAGCTTTTCAACATCATCACTTGATAAGACACAGAGTGTGTTGAAACAAAATGGCTATTTTTGTAGTGATTTTATAACATACTTATGTTATAATTTTTTATAAAAAATAATTATATATATATATATATATATATATATATATATATATCCAGCCAAGGTTGAACTGTTCATGTGCCACTGAGCATTTTTGGGACAGATGTGCAGATTTTTCTGGGGGTCCCATATAATAGTGATGTTCCAGCTTATCTATCTTTAGGCATACAGGTATGTTTCCCTTCTTTGGGGCATTTAGTTGGTGTTTGCACGTTAGGAATATGTCAGCTCCCCTCAGTATAACATCTTGTGCTAACTGAAGGGATATTATTATTATTATGAGGATTATTTCTAAGGTAGTTAATTATTAACTGAGGATTGCACATACCATCACATATGGAACAATTGGTAGTGATCAGGCAAGAGTACATCAGAATATATTATGATACAATATATATATATATGTATAGGTTTAACCAATACAAGGACTGACCAAAATTAACAATAAAAAACAAATGAAAACTACAGATAAACTTTGCTTTCTTCAGAGTCATTTACTCCTGTAGTTCATGGCTACTAACAAGTAAGCAGGGATTTTTTTCTCCTGATGATGGCCATGCTGGCTGAAACGTGTTGAGGAACCTCATTGAAATAATAAAACAACAAAAAAAATATTAATATACAACCCAGTATGTCTCAAAATTTTAATTTTTTAATTTTTTTTTTATTGTTCAAACCATATATATATATATATATATATATATATATATATATATGTGTACATGCTCCTGAAAAAATTATTTCAGTTGAGTTCTTTGGGGAGAAAAGTGAATTTGTAAACAGTGACTATTACTGCTGCTGATGCAAGACTCTTTGTTAAGACGAATCAAGTTCTCCAGTCACAGGTGTGTTTGTCTAAAAATAAATATGTCTAAATTCACCTTTATCCCTGCTGTACGCCAATGGCTTAGGGGTAAAATCTCTGACTGATACCAAAATCAGTTGGGTTTCGATCCCAGTTTGAAGAAATTGGATGTCTAGCCACACTGATGAGCTGTGAAACAGCAAAAGAGTCAATCTGTGGATGACAATATATATATATATATATATATATATATATATATATATATATATATATTGCATGTATTTTGTCAGCATGTTTTAATGTAGGCATGGCATATGAAAGGGCATATTGGAAGTGGTGATGATCAAAGTCTCCTTCAACCACCCAGAGATGATTTGATATGCCACATATGTGACAAGAAATGCAGATCGATGACTGGCTTTATGAGCCACTGTTGTTCACAAACCAATCAATGCAGTGTTGTCGGGGTGAGAGTGAGTTTAAGTAAAGGGCTGGAAATGTCAGTGATGGTCATATTTGCTTTACGAGTTGACAGCCAGCACCATGTGTATATATATATATATATATATATATATATATATATATATTAAAAAATATACTTGTAGCCATGTTTGGATTAATGAAAGTTTTTGTGTAGCAATGTAAAATGTTTTTATTGTAATCTATTATAAGAAAAATTTTTTAATAATATTATGTGTGTGTATATATATATGCATATGAACACACATATGCAGACCTACACACACAGACATATATATATGAATATATATATGCATGTGTGTGTGTGTGTGTCTTTGTAAAAAGACAATATCAATTAAGACAAAAGTAAAACTAACATTTTTTTAATTTTTTTACTTTTGTTTATATATATATATATATATATATATATATATATATACACTCATAATAATAATAAATATATATATATTAGTATAAATTTTAGCTTTATTACTATACACTGAGTCCTATTTTTATTACCTTCAGTGCTTACTGTGCGCTATATATATATATATATATATACACACACACACACATATATATATATATACACACACATATATATATATATACACACACACACATATATATATACACATATATATATATATATTTGTTTTATCTACCCATTTATCAGAATGAAGATTTATAATTTTCACTTTTTTAAAATTACTGCATCAGATCTGCCAACAGATGAAACAATAAAAGAATTTAAAATATAGCACTCTTAAACATGTAAGAAATGGAATCTATAGATAATATATTAGGTATGTGGAAGTTTCTAATGTCTTTGATTTAAAAAAAAAAACAGGGTCATTTAGTTGCAACCACCAATGCAAGGCAATGTTTGAAGGTGTATTTTAGGCAAAAGTGTTTGTTTGAGAGAGATAGAGTATGTGTATATATAAATATATTTTTTCTGGGAAATCACTTTTTAGCTAGGTGTGCCTCACCATTCAGCCACGGAGGTTTTTAGAGCAAAGCATGGCTCAATAACCCTTTTAAAAAATTGAATATCGATTGATGAGACTTTTTACTCTCTATATCTGTTAACTGAAATTTTAAAATCAAAAACAAAGTAATTTTAGAAATGGATGTTTTCAAACTGGCAATATTACTTATTACTATTAGATTTAATAAATATCTTATATATATATACATACACGTTTCATTAAATAATATAGACAAGTGTTGTCTATTTATATTATGTAAATTCTTTTCATAACGTCTGATAAGCTTAATAACATTATCATTGAACAAAAAAAGAAATTAACAATATTGATCCATATTTTTTAATACAATCTAAGCTTTCGGCTTATATAAGCCATTATCAAAGATGTCAATTACAACATATTAAGCAATATACAGACAAGACAGTGATGATAGTCTGTCATTGTTTACATAGATGATTTCTAAGTGTTTATCGTTGCGTAAAAATCATCTATTTCTGGTGGTAATAAAACAATGCTCAATGTATAATAACAGAGATAAAAATGACCCTGTTTGAAAGTATGGTCCACCATACATGACATAATCAGAAAATAAGATGACTATAGTAAATTTAAATTCAACATACCTAAAATTAGATTACGGAAAATATTTTCCAACATTTTTAAGATTACTGAGTACTTAAAAATTATATAAAAATGGTGCTCAAGGGTCATTTTCTTAAATTATGTTTCAACAGATAAAGTCTCTGTAGAACATCAATAAAGATGTTGACAATTTTTAGCAGCACTTGTTACATAGTTAATGAATGACAAGCGCATAATCACTGCTACTGTTTGTTTTAAAAATCCATTTCTGTTATTTTAAACTTAAAAGTAAATAATATTTTTTTTCAAAGCAGATTAATTATACTTTAAATCAGCTAATATTCCTCAAATAAAGTTTCAGAAAATATATTTTATTTTTGGAAGATTTTTAAAACCAAGAATTAACTTTTGTTTACAAATGTATCAAAAATGGCTGATTTAAATGATTTTCTGAAAGCGATCAAAAAGCTGAGATTCCAATCAATATAATTTCTATTTGAAATACACCAGAGTATTTTGCTTACTGGAAATAGTAAATTTAAACATTTAGCTTTCAATTAAAGCTAAAAAGAAAGTTTCAAAAATGATTTTTCATTTTCAAAAATGCATTTTAAACCTTAGGTATCAAAAATTTAGTGGCGGTACCTAGTATATATAAGGTGAAAGTCCACTTGTGACTGAGCATGACCACTTTTTAAACTTGTTCCAAATCACTTCCGATTTTCATCTTGCTGGTGTCATCTAAGATGACTCTTTAGTCCTGGCATTGTTTTACACTTGAGACCAACTGATGTACATGTCACTGACCATTGGCTGATCTGGATGTTTTGATTTAAAATGCCTTGTTAGGCCACTAGAATTTCTGCATACCTTGCTACAAATGGTACATGAAAAGTCATCCAGAACAGCATTAGGAATTTTGGTGTGATTTCATATGACTGGATATATTTTGTGTGTGTGTGTGTGTGTGTGTATATATATATATATATATATATATATATATATATATATATATATATATATTGTAACCTCTGTCTGTCTGTTTGTTATCAAACTCATCCTTGGGTTTTGGAAATAGACCCCCCATAAACATATATATTCTAAAACTATATTACCCAGAACACTTGGATAAGTATATTTCATTTTGATCAAAGAGGTCCTCAGGAAGCACAAACCCACAACTGAAAATTTTTTCCTTTGATATAAATTGGAACAAGGGAATGACTCCTATTCAAAACATAGGAGAAAGCCAGAAGATGGAGGTCACATTGAGTAACATTGAAATGCATAATTTTTTCTCCACAAATTATAACAATGATTTAAAATCAATCACCATTTACTTACAAAAAAAATGTGTGACATGCAGCAAGGTGCGGGTAATTCGGCTAGTATATATATATATATATATATATATATATGTGTGTGTGTGTGTGTGTAAGCAAATATATGGATATAGATCCGACAGTATGAAGAAAAATATACAGAAAAAACAAACAAAAATCTTAATATGCAATTATGCTGTATTAATGTTAATATAAAGTCGACGTCGGACGTTTCGGTCTATTTTAGACCATCATCAGGACATATTCATAAAACATAATTAACATTAGAACATATTCAAATTCAACATGAAAAAGACGATGGACATAAGTGCAGATAAACAGATAAATTAAATTTTTATATAAGATCAGTGTTCTGTTTAAATATGATCACGTCGTCGTCAAGTGGGTGATGTTGTGAAAACATATTCGAAGATGATTTCAAAATATTAAATAAGCTCGATTGAACTATTTTCTCATATAAACAGTTCATTAAAAAATCCTTTCCGTTCTTATAGGAATACACAGAGATCAATAGGTTCTTATATTTTCATACAAGCTTGAAGTCTTCCATGTTATAAAGTAAATCAAAAATGATTTCAAAATATTAGATAAGCTCGATGGAACAATTTTCTCTTATAAACAGTTCGTTTGTTTTTTCTGTATATTTTCCTTCATATATGTGTGTCTGTGTGTGTATATATATATATATATATATAATATGCATGTACATATGTATGTAAATATATAGATATGTGTGTGTGCATGTGTACATAATTCTTTTCATCCTAGTTCCTATGAACTCAAAAAATTCTACACATTAAAAAGTTTCATTAGAATTCCTATGAACTCGGATGAAAAGAAAATATGTACATTTCGTTTAACCCCCATCACCAATACATTTCCAATACCCTTGATTTTCTCCTCCTCCCTTTCTATCACACTTCACATTGTGTGTGTGTGTGTGTGTGTGCGTGTATGCATGGGTGTGTGTATATATATATATATATATATTTATTTCAATCCCAGTTTGAAGCAATCAGACGTCTAGCCACACTGAAGAGCTGTGATACAGCGAAACAGTCTGTATGTGGATGACAATATATATATATATATTTATATATATATATATATATATATATATATATAAAATGAAATGATAATCCTCCTTGAACAGAATTTCTTCTGATAAATTGCTCAGTAAAGTCTAGAGCAATAATTATTGGATCAGAGATATTAAAGTTCAATACTAAACTCAGAGTTGACTACGATAAGTATTAATCTATGCGTGTTTGTTATTAGTTATATATAATTCTATAAATGAAGCTATAGACTGGAATATACATTGAAGCCATCTTACATTATATAAACACTTACGAATATCATTCTATAAAAATATATGATACCAACAGATTCCAGAAAGATCAATTTTCTGTGTTCTCTTACACTGGGACAGAGGTTCCCAATGCTGAAATCTTTTTGAACATATTAAAAAATATCAAAAACAGATTACAGAAATGCTGTCAAGGAGTGCATTAGTGTACTGAGGCCATTATAGTATTGGTAGTTTAAGGACAAAGAAGACTAAATGATGGGAAATTACACATATTGGTCTTTTATGGAAGAGTGGTTTGCTATTCGATGAAAACATTTTGAAATGACTGTTGGTCAGATTTTGAATGGAATGTCTATTTTGTGAAATGAAAGAACAGCAGTCAGTGAATTTGGTTACATGTGGCAGACACAAGATGAAATGTCAGGTCGGAATTCCCAATGATTACCCCAGAAACCTGTACAGGACAAACCTCCAGGTCCTTTCAGTCGGAAATCAGGCCCAGTTATCATAAAATCAGGTACCAGGTTTGAAAACTGAAAAAAAAGTAAAAAAGAAAGAATAATAGGAGAAAGAATGGAGATTAATTTAAACCATTAATTAAACCATTAAGTAAAACATTAATTAAACCATTTAATTTTAACCATTAATTAAACCATTAATTTAAACCATTTAATTTAAACCATTAATTAAACCATTTAATTTTAACCATTAATTAAACCATTAATTTAAACCATTTAATTTAAACCATTAATTAAACCATTTAATTTTAACCATTAATTAAACCATTAATTTAAACCATTTAATTTAAACCATTAATTAAACCATTTAATTTTAACCATTAATTAAACCATTAATTTAAACCATTTAATTTAAACCATTAATTAAACCATTTAATTTTAACCATTAATTAAACCATTAATTTAAACCATTTAATTTAAACCATTAATTAAACCATTTAATTTTAACCATTAATTAAACCATTAATTTAAATCATTTAATTTAAACCATTAATTAAACCATTTAATTTAAACCATTAGCGCCTGCTGTAAAAGCCAGAATTAATATAAAAATTCAAATAAAAATACAGTATTAATATAAAAAAAATAAAATCCAGTGTTAATATAAAAATAAAAATCCTGTATTGATTATAAAAAATAAAAATAAAAATCCAGGATTAATTATAAAAATAAAAATCTAATATTAATAAAAAATAAAAATCTAAAATTAATTATGAAAACAAACAAACCAAAAAAAACAATCCAATATTAATTATAGATTTATAGAAAATTTGTTATTAATTTCTAAATGTCTCAATCTAACAATATGCAGACAGATAAAACCCCAAAATGACAAGATATATTAGAAATGTTGTGTTCTAAAAATGAAGAATGGATGTGCAACACAATAACTGCTTTTTCAAAAGAATTAAGAAAACTCTACTTTTGATATTATTTTAAATGTTAAAATATGTAGATCAAACAAAATTTGGCATTATTTACAAAAATTAAAACATAAATTAACATGGTATTAATTAAGGGTTTCTAAAAAAATTCTTGTATAAATTATAGGTTTCAACCTACAAACTATGAATGCCCACTTGCAATTTTGGTATGGTAGGCATTAATAAGATAACACTTAGCTTATTGTGTGGAATCTCCATCACGGAGAGGTCACTTACAATTTGGGGTTACTTAAATATATGTTATTCTTTGGAACCAAAACTTAAGTGACTCTCTGGCTTTGTACTAGGTGAACATTTGTAAAAAAAGAACAAAAAAAAATAGTCTTCCCTAAAAATACAGCAAATTTAATGCAATCTAAACACATATACAACATTGTATTAAGATTTGGTAAAAGAAAAAAAAAAGAGCCAGAATATCCATTTTCCTTTGAAAATATTCCTTAGTGAGCAAATTAAAACTTAAGCATGTTACAAGATGAGATCTTGCTCTGCTTCGATAAACGGAAGTTACCATCACGTCCCCGACTCGAAATGAAAACTGCACGTCTACGTATAGGCTCGACGCAGATACTTCCATTTGGGATAAATTAAAAAAAAAAAAATGAAAAGAATTAAATCAACCAATCGGACCATCTCCCGCGTATTCAAAAAATTGCCATTTGGAGCCAATAGGCATGTATAAGTTCAACACAGGAAAGTCAAAAGGCAGTCCTATTCAATGGCGGAGGTAGAAGGGTCACGTCGCTCGCTCCTGACACACTGGCCTGGCGACAAAACGAAGCCTGTGACTGCTGCTGCTAATGAACTCTCGTCCGATGCTTTGTCAAAGGGTACCTTTCCCCTTCCATAAGTCAAGTTAACTCCACGAACTTTACTTGCCACTACCATAGACATTCAACTTCTTAAATACGAACCTTTTACTTGTTCTTATTTTCCTCACTAAAAAGACTATAAAATATATTTACAGTCTTTTTTGTTCTTTCAATTCTGAATTTCATTGTTTGCAACCAAACGCAGTATTTCGCCCACATTGTTTTCACATCGCTCACGCATCTAAATACGGAATATAACAAGCATAGGAAAGGAAATTGAACATAGAATAGGGTGTGCCAGAGGTAGTTTTGCCCCACCACCGCAAATTGCTACAAAGCCAAAATGTTAACCTGAAAAATCAAGTCATGTACTTGAATAGCCTCATCAGATCGAGACTTTCATATGGATGCCATCCATGGCATCAAACATGTTCAGAAATATCTAAACTATCAGCTGTATAAAACTGCTTCCGAAAATTTTCTTTGTGTTGCATGTGCTATACATTTTAGTTGCTGCTGCTGTTGGTAGTCTTCAAATGATGTGGTTTCTGTTATTTGGTACAGTTTTTTCTTTGTGATTGTGTAGCACCAGTTCACAAGGTTCAAAGAAGGATGATCTATGCCAAGACCCTCTGGCATTACTCACTCAAAGCCTTTTTTCATCATACGTGGTTATATACAGTTGACAGTTTGGATATTTCCCAATGGCTTTGGCACCATGCAAGGCAACTATAAGAACTAGATGAGATATCCCTAGATATGGTCAGAAGAACGAGAACAATCTTTTCCTGTAAATTAAATAAAGGGTTCAGTTTGAAATTGGTTTGTGAATTTTATGATATAGTAATTGTGAGTTCAATCCCTAAGGCTGACTAGGGCAGACTGGAACCAAAGCAAGTAATAACTGATCAGTACTAATTAAGAACTAGATGAGATATCCCTAGACATGGTCAGAAGAACGAGAACAATCTACCTCCGTAAATTAAATAAAGGGTTCAGTTTGAAATTGGTTTGTGAATATTAAAAGAGTACAGGACTGTTACATGATAATTGTCCTCTTATATGGCAGTGAATGCTGGACAATCTTCTCAAAGATGAAGAAGAGACTTGAAGCAACAGAAATATGGTTATACAGAAGGATGCTGAGGATACCATGGGCAGAATATGTGAGCAGTAACAAGGTTTTGGAGAGAATGGAAACAAAAAGGAAATTTATACTTAACATCAGGGAGAGATTGTTAAAATTTCTGGGGCATGTAATGAGGAAGGAGGGCTTGGAAAATTTGATCCTCACAGGTCAGATAGAAGAGAAAAAGGGACAGAGGAAAGTAGCACATAACATACTTAATGGGCCTGAGTAAATGGATGGCAAACAGGGTAAGGGAGAAATAACAAAAAGACAAAACTTATTAAGAGCTACACGGGGACAAGAGGGAGTAGGAGCCATGATCAACTATGTCCGGAAGGGACATGGCACAAAGAAAGAATCATGAGTTTAATCCCTAGGGCTGAGTAGAGCAAACTTAGAGCCCCTGAAAACAAAGCAAGCAATAACTAATCAGTACTAAATAAGAATGAGACAAGATATCCCTAGATATGGTCAGTAAAATCTACACTCATAGATTAAAATAAAGTGTTAATTTGGAAATTCCATGATGGTTAACCAGATCAAGAAGCACCTGATGAATATAGGAAGGCACAATGACTAAAATGTGATAAAAACAACAATGATGAGGATATTAGTTTGAATGTAAATAACAACTCCTCATCTCAGAAATAAAGACAGATAATGACAGAAATGTGATAATAACAACAATGATGAGGATATTTGTCCGAATGTAAACAATAACAACTCATCTCAGAAATAAAGACAGATAATGACAGAAATAGGATAATAACAACAAAGATGAGGATATTAGCTGCAAAGAACTAAAATACAATGATTACAAGACAATGATTGAGACAATAACAACAAAGTATACTTTTATACTTACTGGTGATCGGCTCATGGGTGGTATGGTTGGGGTGGCCAAACTGATGACATCAAGGAGGGCATTTTGGGAATTCCCAAACAGCAGAAGTGCAAGATGGTTCTTACCATTTGGTGCCAAAGAGAGTACACCTGTTTGAGGATGTCTGAAATGGCATTTCTCTAAAATGAGACTGTCATCTATAAAAGGAATAATAAAGATTATCAAGTTATACTATGATTATTCCAACATGGAAAGGCTTCTATATATTATATAATATATACACAAAATTATATATAATTATACACAAAAGTTTCCACCACCATTTTTACATAAAGTTGGAGAAATCTTTGAAATATCCACGCTTGTGCAAATTAATTGAAACAAAACGAATAATTCCGTTATTATTTACTTTTTTTCATATTTTTCCAATGAAACATGACCCAGTGCACATGTTAATACTTTGTATGTCCATTCCACGTAGTCGTTCCTTGCAGTTTGATCACAGATTCATTGGATTTAAATCAGGAGAGTTTCCAGGCCAGTTGATAGTACTTTGATTTGCTCACTGGTAAGGCTTGCCAGTGTGTTCGTGCAGCATTACAATTTCCGTACGCTTCCTTGGAGTAATGTCCATCATAGACAATGGACATAGGTCAACTAATCGACAGTTGAGACAATAGTGTCTGAGTGTGATGAAAATCTGATGGAATCATGGATGATGTAATATTTTTTAAGACCAAACAAATTTCATTATACACACCGAAAATAGATTCAGATTACCACACACAACTGCAAATGACCTAATCAGAGATATAGATAGATATCAATTACAGATATTATTCCAGTGGGTCTAAAACTGACTGTGTAGTGAAAGAAAGGAAACTTACTTCAAATTAGAATTCATTCAGCATTAAACAGATGAAGTTAAAAGAACAACAAAGAGAAAATACTTCATCTCCCCACCCCCCATATCATTTTAAAAATAGAAATGTGTTTCTTTGTATTTGCATACTGTTGTATGGTATTATTTAATCTAATATGGCTTCTTTCCATTAAGTTACAAACTGAAATCTCATCAATTTATAACTTGTTACTCTTTATTAGATTAAAAGGAGGAATTAAATTAGAATTTTTTCTTTTTTTTTTTGACAATGCTGTTCACCCTATACAAGAACCAATAGCCACTCAAAGTAGAGAGTTACAGAGTAAGAGCCATAATTTATGGTGATATGTGGGGAAGATAACAGTTAACCCTAGACATGAACAGGTTAAGATTGCAGTGATCGGGGAAGCATCTCCTTGGGAGTTGGTTCCAAAATCAGTCATTTTGTGGGAAGAAGCTGCTGGAGTGGAACTTACATCTCACCAACGGAATATGAAGGGAATGAGGGTGGTTCGCTACAATGGACGTGGCATGGTGCATCTTAGCTATGAAGGCTATAACTGGTGGAAGTAAGGAATGTAGCTCATTTGAAAATTTTCCATGGAAATAGCAACAGAGCAGCAGGAGGCTTGCAACATTTTATCTGTGGCAAAGGGGTGGTAGCCAATAAAAACATTAAAAGAGTGCAAAATTAAATTTGTCATATAAATTACAGAAGTTATTTTCACTCAAACTTTGGGAATTATATCTTTATTGAAATACTGCTTTGCATCAGTTGGGAGGACCACATCACCAACAATGAGGTCCTCTCTCGAAATCTCTCCCCAGCATCAAGGCTACCACCCTTCAACATCACCTCCACTGAGTGGGTCACATGTACAGAATGCATCCCACTTGACTCCCACATATCATCCTGTTTGGAGAACTCGCCAGCAACAAGAGGTTATGCGGAGACCCAAAACGACACTTCAAAGACATACCTGACACAGGCCAACATCGGCCATGCGACCTAGGAAAACGTTGACGCAAATCACCCTTCCTGGTGTAGGACTATTCAAAGTGGGACCGAGACTTTTGAGCCCAACCATCGATATGAAGAGGATCTGTAACATGCTGTCAAGAGGGCCTGACTTGCCCAGGCATGTCCACTACCAACACACCTTTGTGACTCCCGCTCACAACTCTTCAGGAGTAAACTGGGCCTTCACAGCCATCTCTGTCACCACTACCAGAAGGGAGAAAGAGAATAAGTAGAGAAGATAACAATCCTGATGATCAGATACAAACAGGTGCTGATGCTGGTTATTGAGCAGGTTGAGCAACTATCATAACTTCAGAAAAAAACTATTGGTAACAATATCAATATCTACATTTAATCTGGTTTCACATATAATTTGTCAGGGTTGGCAGGATTGTGTATCGAGCCTCACAAAACAGAGTAGCTCTTGCAGTGTGTCTCATTGGCGATGGTACAAGGTAATGCTTTATCCATCATTGCGACTAACAGATGATAGCAAAAAAAAAAACATTTTGTTTTTGTTTATAGATACTTTGTTCATTTGTGTCAATTGAAGCTGATGGATTTGTTTGAATGATTTTGTAAGAATTTGTCTTCAAACACAAAATCCCTTAAATCTATTTCAATGATATGAAATTTGTTGTTTGAGAATAAATTTCAGTTTCAATTTTGAAATTTCTCATCCATCATTTTGAGGAAAGCACAAGTTCTAGAAACATTATTGTACTTACCTTGAATTTTGATAGGAATAAAACTCAAGAAACTTGAAGTCAAGCTGTTTTCCTTTGGTCCACCAATAATGATGACATTTTTATTTTCTGAAATGATAACAAAAGCACAAACATTTTCCAAAAATTCCAATGTAAATCATTATCTTTATTCCACAAGTTATTCAGACAAATATCCTCATATTTATTGTTTTTATCAATACATTTAGATTGATTTGGTCTTTGGCCTTCCTAACTTTATCTGAAATGATGAGATATTTATTGTAATTATTCCAGAAGTCATTTGGACTAATGTCCTCATTCTTACTATATTTCAACAAGTGCCTTTCAGCATTTTTCTACAGTCTGAAATTTTTATAGATTTTTAATCAATATTCCATATATTGGCTAAAATAGTATGTTCTTCCTTGTCGGTTTGATAAAAAAGAAAAAGGGATATTTTTGCCAGGGCTAGTGTTCAGGCTCAAGTGAAAGCCAGGATTTCAAATACTGATTTTCACAATTAGCACGTCATTACTACAGGAAGATCATATTGCACCAAAGTTCCTCACCCCAATTTGAACAATCTAAGCTTATACATGTTATAATGAGGATAACACATTGAAACAAGCAATGAATATTTATTAGTGACTTACTTATTTTTTCCAAGGATATGTCTGCATCCCTGACAATGGGAGCTTGTGTATCCGAAGTGATCCAGAAAAGATTTGCCACATAAACAGCCAAGTGTAGCAGCAGCTGATTCATATGGGATGACCCCTGTGTTCCTGTCAAAAAGAAACAAATAGAAACTTTCAGAAAAGATGTTAAAAAATAATAAAATTATCTCAGAAAGAAAATCTTAAAATAGCAGAAAATAAGAATTAATATTACCATTCATGTTTTCATGGCAAATATTCCTCTTATTTGTAAGTTTCTTGGTTCAATGTTTACTTATAGACTAAAGCATAAACATGGCCAATATTCACATACAGACTCAAGTATAAACCCAACCAATGTTTGTTTGCCTCTACACCCAAGCATAAACATGATCAGTGTTTACTTCCAGGTTCAAGAGTAAATGCAACCAATGTTTGTTTACATCTACATCCAAGCATAAACATGATCAGTGTTTACTCCCAGGCTCAAGTATAAACCCAATCAATGTTTGTTTACCTCTACATCCAAGCATAAACGTGATCAGTGTTTACTTCCAGGCTCAAGTATGAATGCAACCAATGTTTGTTTACCTCTGTATCCAAACATAAACATGATCAGTGTTTACTTCCAGGCTCAAGTATAAACACAATCAATGTATTTTTATCTCTATATCCAAGCATAAATGTGATCAGTGTTTACTTCCAGGATCAAATATAAATGCAACCAATGTTTACCTCTACACCTTAGCATAAACATGATCAGTGTTTACTTCCAGGCACAAGTATAAATGCAAGGTGAGCTAAGCAGTGTTAGCTATGCAAATTATTCCTTTGCTAGCCAAACACTAAAGTTTTAGGCTCCTTAAACTTTAGCACACTGAAGACCAAAATTTTCAATGTAGAATTCTCTCCTTTTGCATGCTATAGGTTTGTTCTCTTGTCTCAAGAGAGTTGCTATAAATAAACACTTGTCAAATGTTAGGCTCATTTTCAGGGAAAATTTGAACTTTTTTAGATTGTAGTTGATAGAAAAGCAAGAATCTTGAAGAAAGTTCCATAAGCAAGAAATGCAAGCAAAGAAAGTATTAGCATAGAATTTACATCTAGTCATTTCAACTGTAAAATGTTGAAACCTAGCTACCAATTCTAGTCAGTTAAGTGCCATACATGATATACACTTCTTGTCTCTTTTGAATCATCACTGATTCTAAGCAGAATATTTTCCCCACAGTAGGTTTCCATTCTTTTTGGTTCTTTTAACTGATTGCTAACCAAGGCTATAGGACCCACTCTGTCCTGCTATTCACCCCATAGATGAGGGGGAGAAGATATGGTTTCATACTTTTCCCAAAGGTTACTGAGCTTAAATTTGTAAAGTCTAGACACCAAAGAGAAAAGTTCATCAGAACAACTAACATGAAAATATTTATAGAAAAGGAACAGGGAAACAGTGGTGGGAAAGTGACTGAAGCTGAGATGCCAGGTCAAGACCAATAACAATGCAGAATCATCTTTGGATTTATCAAGAATCTCTAAATACATAGCTGGCACACCAGATCAGATATTTTTTTTTTTTTTTTTTAAGCATTTCACCACAAGCAAGGCTGGAATCCACTAGCATGCAAGAGGTTATAGAGGATTTGGAGAGAAAGCAGATAGGAGTGATAGAGGAAAGGATGAGAAGGATAGTGGATGGTAGCAATATTCAAAACAAAAACGATTGGTAGACTTATAAATATGTAAGATAAATTCTGGTGAGAAAAACTGTCTCACATGACTCAGGGAACCAACTTTCATAGCAGCAGACCTAGCAATTGATTCAATATAATCTTTCCATTTCATATCAGCAGAGAATGTTAGCCCAAGAACACACAATGAGTCACCCTACGGTGGGTTAGTATCAACCATACTGAAAGAAGGCAAAAAAAGTTCTCTAAGACAATTAGAGAGCAGTTTAGTTTTCAGGTCATTTTTTGAACCACTTAACAAAAGACTGAATTTCATTTTCAAGATCAACTGCCACTTTGAACCTATCGAACTTACCATTAATACAGGAGTAAAAAGTTCTGCCATCACCATAGATGGCCTTGTTAGGGACAGAAATAAAGACACAAGAGAGGAATTGAGTTAAACAAATATATTAACAGAAAAACAGTAATACAAACGAGAGTGTTACAGCAAGAATATTCAGTCCAACTATCAGAGCTGACTGCTATAAACTATCCTCCTCTAAAAGGTAGTACCTGTTCTTACTTATAACTGGGAGAGTCTGTACGTGCATGGGTAAATTACCATAACAGATACTGAATTGAGAACTGATGGCATTGGGAAGATTGGTGATAAAAATTAAGAACGAAGTGGGTACAAGGACAGAGTCATGGGGGACACTTGTATTAATGTAAAAAGATCTAGAAGAGTGGCCATTCAAGATAACCATCATTTCCTGATTTGATAAGAAAGATTGAACCAAATCAAAAATTTAGACTGAAACACCATAACCCTTCAGCTTGTGAAGAAGACTAGTATGCCAAACCCTACCTTCAAGATATTCTAAGGCAGCGGCACAAGCTTTACCATTTTTATGCATGACAGACTTCCGGCAATAACCAATAACACATTGGCAGCTCATCTAGAGAAATGAAAGTTATATTGTTTGTCTGAAAGAAGATCCTGTGAGATGAGATGCTTAATCAATTCAGAGTTGATTAGAGCCTCAAGTAGACAAGTAAGAGTCGTTAATATGAGTAAGATTTTTAATGACTAGAAGGAAAAAGTTTGTTCTTTTGTTAAGCCTAATATTATTTTTTTGTTAGATGACTTTTTTTTTTCTCATACCAGAAAATCTAGATAAACAGTTTTATCTTAAGACAGCAATTTATACACTCACATCTCCAACTGATTGTAGATAGAGGAGCAAATACTTACCTGCAATGATTACAAATGGTTTCTCAGCGACCCTTCGTGCAGGACCATAATTATGAGGTCCTCGTTCTAGTTTGAGATCTCCTGGACATGTTTTCCACTCTCCTGGTCAATAAAACATAAGGTCAGGGATTGAAATCATTGTTTTGGATATCACATCAATATTTGGAACTTGGAAGTAATTGAAAAAAAACACTTCAAACAGAATAAATGTTTCATATTTATACAAAACAATAAAATTTAAATAACTCTTGGAAGTTTTTATTACACTTTGATATTAAATATAATTAGACTAGACTGAACCGTTTCTAAGGCTTGCATTTCATTCTTACTCTTTTTTAAGATTTTCTTTTTTTTATTTATAGTCAGGGCCGGATTATTACGTTTTGGGACCCCTGTATGTGGCATCTCTTGGTCTCAAGAGACCATGGATCTGTGCCCATTGTTATGCCTCAGCTGCTGATGGCAGTGCAGCATCTGTTATGGCTGTACAGGCCCACATGGGAGTGAGAGTCTCAGTTGCAACAAATGCATGTGAAGACACTCTCCCTTGATGTCACCATGTTGTTTTGTTCCTGTTGAGCATGCTTGTCTCTGGCGGCAAGCCCCTATTTCTACTCTAGACCTTGGTGTAAATCATGTCTGCAGTGTGTGTGATCATTGGTGGTGTCTTCCCATCTCTCAATGTTCTTGTCTATTGCCCTCATGTCCCTTTTGCAGATGTCCTTGAAGTGAAGATGAGGTCATTCTCATGCCTTCTTGTCAGTTGTCAATTCCCCATACAAAAGAACCTTCTTCAGAATCCTCCCATCTTGTATACAGAGCTGTTGGAAAAGGTCATATAGGCTGGATAACTAGGCATAGGTGAGAACTACAGCAATAGTAACCAAGTCATACCAAATGATGCCCAGAATGCATTTCAGACAGCGAAGATGCTGAGGCTAATTACAGAGCTACACCTCAGATGGAACCACCGTCTAACTCATCTGCACCTGACTTGAATATTTTTTACTTATGATATATATTAGCAACATTTACATAGCTTGAAGTAAACTAATTGCAACTTCTTTAAATAAACAAGAATAATTATTTTTTGTTTGTCAATAAAAATATTCTTTATGAAATAACTTCACTATTTTATTATTTATTACAAACCTAATTAACACATATTTGAACACAAGCATAGTAAAAGGAACGGATGTTTTAATAACCAGCATTATAACCAAGCTTAAAGGTTAGCCAGCATACTAACCTATAGAATAATCCTGTTCTGGGCTCTAGGCTGCAGCCTATACTAGCCTATAGTATAATCCAGTCCTGGGCCCTAGGCTGCAGCCTATACTAGCCTATAGTATAATCCAGTCCTGGGCCCTAGGCTGCAGCCTATACTAGCCTATAGTATAATCAGGCTCTGTTTATTGTTAATCTATGAGTTTTATCATTTATAATTGATAACAAACTAAAAAGAAAAAAAAAACCACTAATACATCATTTTATGAACAACAACAAAAAAAATTAAAATACTTGTTTATTTTTTAATTAATTTTTTTAATCATCTTAAATATTTAATTGGTAATTGACATCAGTCTTAAATTTGGACAGAGTTGAAGCAGATGAAAATATGTTTCATATCTATGGAAAAAAAAAATGCAGTGTTTGGTTAACGATTTTTTTTTCCAAATTAATTTAGACTACAGATATAACTATATATAAAATTCTGTGTCTTCCGTTCATCTGTCCTAACCCTTAAAATAGCCAAACATTGACCAATCAAAATCAAATTTTGGGGAGAAGTGCAAACAGGCAAGGGGGTACAAAGTACAATTGATTTTACTAGGGTATGTACCTTATAACAATAAATTTTCATTAATTTTTTTGGAAAAATTAAAAGTTTTATCATTTAACATACAAAATACTCCCACAATTTTAAAATCAATTTAATGATTAAAATAGCAAATAATTATTTAATAAAAATGCAATATTGTTTTTTACATATATTTCCTTTAAGTTTTTATAGGTACAGGATGCGATGGGTAAATTGTCACCATTTTATATTTTTAATTTTGTGTATGTGCATTGTTTGCTTTTGATTTTGTCAACTTCACAGTATAGTCAGTGGGTCAGTCGTTTCCCATGAAGTCCTATAAATTTAAATAAAATTAAAGAAAGTTGTGAAGTAGGGTTTTTGTCAAAGTATTTTTCCAAACAAATCAGCTTATTCAAATTTCATCGATTGATTTGTGAAATTTAATGAAATGTAGAGTTTGTAAATCTCGACAAAAACTGTTAACAATAACTTCAATAATACTAAATACAGTAAGGATTTCATCAAGCACTCGTCTTGAAAAAAGCATGTATTATATATGAAAAATTACAGTAATGTAGATATACAAAACAGAAAGATCAAAATGCACACATGATGTTTTCTGCAAGGCTGAAAATGCACGTGTAGAGGGTGTGATAGCTATGATTCATTTCATAACCCCTAAAATAGCAACATCTCTAACTCAAGAAACATGAATTTCTCGAACAAACAATAACAACTATTTATTAGGCAGAACACTGGCACTGTGGAAAAGAAAAGCAGTGTCTCTGTTATAACAATTAGTTCACATGTGTAAGCTTTTCAGGAGCATATTTGGTTTTAGTATGCTAAGCTCATACTTACAAATAAGTCAAATTATCTATCAGCAGGGTGTTAGTTCTTGTGTCAAATTCCTTATCTGTGACTAGTGAGTGGAATTTTACAATGATGATGTGTCAAGTAGATGTATCGTTCCTGGTCTCTCGATGTGGTTGCTTCTCCTCTGTCACTATACCACTATCTGTTTAAATGCAGATTCTCCTCTGCTTATATTGGTAGGGATAGGCTTAACTTGAACACAATTTTAGATTCTTGATTTGCCGCTTAATTCTGATTTGGCTCTGTTCAGGACTACAAAAAGAGACATAAATCCCCTCTTTTTATTTTTGGCTCTAATTCAAAGGATGTTCTAAGCACAAGACATTGTCCAAGTTTTCATTGGAGAGGCACTCCCCAGGCAGCTGACTACTTAATTTCAACATAACCATATGGCACACTCTCATACCCACACTGCAATAACCCCATAAATGCTTTTTTTTTGTACTTTCTGATCTGTATATCAATATACAAACTAATGCACAATCTTCACTTTTTAGCCTTGACAGAATTCAAAATCATTTACACAGTTTTGTTGGGAAAGATTTATTCACTACTCAACAGCCACTTTCCCACAAATGCAACATTGCAAGCCCATCACTATGTCATGATTTCCATGGTAAATATTCAGATTAGATCCATTCTTTAGTTTCATCAGTTCAGACCTTTACAGCTAGGACACATCATATCACTTCTATGGAGTTGAATCACCCACATTTTCCACATATTCCAAACGTAATGAGAAAATTCCACTCAAACAGCTAGGACATATCACACCACTTCCATCGAGTCAAATTGTCCACATTTCCCACGTATTCCAAATGTAATGAGAAAATTCCACTCAAACAGCTTTTACTGAAGAACTACTACTTTATAGAAAAACTCCCACATGGTGCTTCCCTGAAGAATACAATCTTAACCTCTTCAAGTGAAAAGTCAATCATTATCTATCTTCCTTATCTTCATAATCTACACTTCTTCATTCATATCACACACCTCATTCATCATAACCACTTCAACAGTAGTACTTTTCTACCTGAGAGGCTCTTGAGCTTTATATTGTGTGAACATTAGTATACTAAAAAATGAGGTTGTGCTATTTGTCCACTGAGAATTGGCAGTTCACTGAATAGATGAAAAAGACATCTAGAACAAAAGACAATGTATATCTTCTCTGAAGTTAAGCTTTAAATTGAAGAGAAGTTTGTTTAACTTAAAATGTTTATAATTTCAGATAGAAAGAGAAAAAAAAATATCTGATCAAAGTTACTCACCCTTTTCCCGACAGATTAACCAATTTCCTGGAGAAGCTATCATTTTCTTTACAAATTCAGGAGGCACTACAAAATCATTATCCACCTAGAAAACAAGTAAAAGTTGTTTTTATGTCATTAAATATTTTTTTTAAATTAACATAAAATCAATAAAAATATTGAATATCTCCTCTGATGAAACATAAAATTAGAAGCTTTCTTTTAGGGTCATTTTTCTCATTTTTTTGCCTCTTATTTCAGCAGCAGTAGCTAACATTCAATCATGATTTCATGACTGTCATATACAACATAAATGAATGGAATCATCCATTTATGTAAATAAGCAGAGTTGAGGAGAGTTAGCATTAGGTCAATTGTTAAGTGTAGCTTCATGTAGTAAATCTTCTATTTCATTACTTATCAACAAGTTTGTCTTCCTTATTTATTTCCATCTGTTATCTCAAAAACATGAGATACAACAGGGACATAGAACAAAGAAGAATAAGAATAAGGAGCTTGTGGAGAGCCATTATCATCAAAGTCTTGAGGGGATATAGCACAAAGAAGAAGAAGGAGAAGAAAAAGAAAGAGCTTGTGTAAATGGTTGTTAGAACAAGGATTACTAGAGATAGCAAAATAATAAAATTTACTAAGAGCTACAAAGGATAGGAAATTGTGGAGAGCCACTATCACCAAGATCCTGAAGGGACATTGCACAAAGAAGAGGAAAAAGAAGAAAAAAATAAGCAGCTTGGGTAAATGGTTGTTAGAATTTTTATAAATGAACATTCATTATACTTTCCTCAAGGCCCACTACTTGTCAAAATCTAAAAATATTGATTTTGCTATTATTTTAGAAAGAGGAGGGTCTGTTTATAATATCAATACAGTGTAAAATCAGTCCCTCACTTAAAGTTATTGGTCTTGTCGTGAGTGCAAAATAATAATAACTCCTTTCACTTATTCTGTTCAAATTTGGAGGATTTAAGAAGATGGAAAGGAATTTGTGAGCCTATGTGAGATTTTGCCTTTCATAGAAATTAGCCAGTGAGCCAAGAAGGAAAGGAATTTATTAGCCTATGTGTAATTGTTTTTGGACCAAAGAAAACTTTGCCTTCTCAGAAATTAGCTGCTGAGCCAAGAAGAAGGAACGAAAGTAGCAAGCCTACACAAAATTCCTTTTGATACATAAAAGGAAAAAGAGAAAAATTAAATTAATCAGAGCAGAGTATCTGAAGTTATATGAAAGGTTTCGTTTCAGTTCCTTGCAACTAGTGTCAAAGTACTCATCAGTGTAAAATTACCTGGTTATTATTGGTTATTATTATTGGTCTCTAACGAGCGTGTGATACTTAACTTTTCTTTCAACAATCCAAAAAGCTAAGTATTTCAAACTATCTTTCTGTCAACTTTTGAACATATACAAACCATATATCCCTTCAGTGAGAAACGAACTCTCTTACCTTTGTCTTAAACATTTTTTAATATTTTTTTGTGTCAAATCATTTAATCTGTTGTATGAACATTTCCTCTTCATGACAATTCGTTAAAACTACGGACTTTAAAAATTTCTGATTTATTTTCTAAAATGAACTACTGACTTCTTCAAGTGCGTACATTTAGGAATAAATTCCTCATCTTGTTTTGTTAAAATTACCAGTGTGTTCCCCTCATCATTATTGTCCTTCATTAATCTTCTTGGCGTGGGTAAAGCAACTATTCATTTTAACCCCGAAGTCCCATGCAACTATAATGCAACTGCTTCTTCTATTTCAACAGTTTTATATAATGTTTTTTTTTGTAACTTAACATTAACAGAACAAATTCACGGATTTGGACGAGAAAAATTTTTTTTTTAAAAATCAGTTTGTCATGTATATAAATGTTGTTAGAAAAAAAAAAAAGCAAATGTTTATAAGAAGGCAAAGGTAATAAAAGCAATACCGAGGCCGTGAATCAGGCTTGCCCCTTCCCATATCAGTCGAAGGGTAGTACGCTCTGCATGCACACAAATTGCGCAGCGTATTATGAACTCTCAACGTCAGGCATACAACACAGGTCACCGTCTAGACGTCGAACGTGAATGAATTTAACCTGTTCTATGTAGATATCCACTTGACAATTCGTCAAAACTACAGACTTTAAAAATTTGATTTATTTTCCTGAAACAAGCGTATAAATTCATGAATTCCTTATCTTTTGTTAAAATTACCAATGTGTTCCCCTCGTCATTATCGTCCTTCATTTATCTTCTTGTCATGGTTAAATCAACCGGTCATTTTAACCGCTAGTTTAACATCACCATAGTCTTAGCTATTTTGCATAAAAACCAGACTTTGGGGAGTTTTTATAAAAAAATTTCTTTTAATTAAAAAACAAAAATTTTCATAAATTAAAAGTTTAGAAAAAATTTCAGAAAATTAACAAAAAAACCCCCCAAAAAAAAAACATGTTGATATTGTTTTTCTGCACAGAAGGATTGCACATATTTTACAATTAGAAAATAAAAAAATAATTAAAATATATCAGCCAATAAAAACTCTTTGCATAAAAAACAAGACTGTGGAGCCAACCAACATCCATAAAAGAAGCTAAACCCTTTAATTGAAGGAGAGAAATTATTTGACCAGTGAACATGTCACTTCCACATTCTCTCCTACATTTGATACCATGTCCATTCAATTATTGCTAGCTCCACTTCCAATGTATTGTTACATTTCTGCGAATTCTAAAAATATGGACATTATATTTTCTTTCAAGGAATTCTAAAAACAAATTTTCTATTGCAGTGAACTCCCAAGGAAAAAAAATTTATTCTTCTGAGTAAAACATTTTAATATTATCAGGTGCCCAAAAAAGTTTTTGCTGATTTTTGTTAACTTATTTCTAGCATAGCTGTTTAGATACTAACAAGCATAAGTATACAGGAAGCAACTTGTATTGACAAATACATTGTTGAATGATTCAGTTATTTTATTACATAACTAATATTTTATTTCTCATTTCAGAGCTCTCAAAATGACTGATAAAAAATTGGTAATTCATGCTTGTCTGTTGTATGAGTTTAAACTTGGTACAAGTGCATCATGTGCTTCTCGTGAGCTTTGGTGACAGTGCAGTAAGTGAATGAACTGCAAGTAATTGGTTTCAGAAGTTTCATTGTGGCAATGAAACCCTTGAAGATGAATCTTGAGCTGGATGACCAAAATCCTTAAACAATGAGGATTTAAAGGCAGCCATAGAATCAGATTCAGGTTTAACATGTCATGAACTAGCTTCAAGGTTTAATGTAAGCAATGAAACTATAAGACTGCATTTGCACCAGCTGGGGAAGAAATGGAAATTAAGCTAATGTGTACCATATGACTTAACACCTGCAAACAAACTGCAGAGGCTTACCATATGCTCTTCTCATTACAGTAGACTAACAAAAGAATTCATTTTTGATCGAATTATAACATGTGATGAAAAATGGATCATGTATACAAACTCTAAGAGGAAACATCATTGGTTATCGCCGGGTGATCCTTTGCCACAAACTTCAAAGGCACCACTATTCCAGAAACAAACTTTTGCTGTGTGTTTGGTGAACATGTCAAGGAATAATTCATTATGAGTTTTTCAAAACGGGTGAAACCATTAATGCTAACAAATATTGTGAGCAACTTGAATGAGTTCAGGAAAATTTGTTGAAGAAACAGCCTGCATTAGTAAACAGAAAACAGGTTTTGTTTCTCCAGGACAATGCTCACCCACATGTTGCAAAAATGACCCTTGCCAAGATAGCAGAGCTAAAGTGGGAGATTATGCTTCATCCACCATATTCACCAGACCTCTCCCCAACAGATTTTCATTAGGTTTTTAGGCTTAGATAATCATATGAAGAACAGGACATTTAATAATGAAGATGACTTGAAAATGGAAGTGCATAACTTTTTCCAAAGTAAAACTAAAGACATTTACAAAAATGGCATTACTCAGTTGTTGAACCGTTAGGAGAAGGTCATAGAATGTGATGGTTCATATTTTGATGAATAAATAGACTTTAAATATGCATCTTTAATTTCCTTTATAAAAATTGGCAAAAATTTTTTGGGGGGCCTGATAATAATATGCTTTATTTAATATTAATATTTTATTTAATATTAAAATATTAGATATTAATATGTTTCGTGTAATATTATTATATTTAATATTAATAATGTTTTATTTAATATTAATATATTTAATATGAATAATGTATTTCATTTAATATTATTATACCTAATATTAATAATATGTTTTATTTAATAATAAAATATTATATTTGATACTAACTTAAAAGCCACACTCCATGTTTATATTTTGGCTAGCTTCTGCAGCAGGTTAATTTTGCCTCTGGCTCAAAACTAAAGGGACCTCTGTTCCAGTTTAGAAAACAGCAATGATAATTTTGAAGAAATATCTTCATATTCCTTAATTTACACCATGGAACTTCAAAAGCTTATTTTAATTCTGATTTGAGCTATAAGTCCAATTCTAGCCAAAAGATTTGGGCTGAAAATTGAGTTCCGCAAATCACAAACTCTGTGGAACTTCAAAACCTTCACATCATAAAACGTCTCACTTTAATTCTGATTCCTTGGCATTTTGAAGAAATAAAATTGATTTCCTCAGTTCACAAAATTTTGGAGATATTTTAAACTGAATTTAAAACAAAAATGTTTTTGTGCTACTTTAAACTCAATATAAATTAAAAACTTTTAATATGACTATTTTTTCTCAGTTATTTTAAAAGTTGAATTTTTAACTGTTCCCTTCTCAACTGGACACAAATTCCAATGTTGGATGTTCAAGCACCAGATGAAGGGTAGATTTTCAATTCTGGAATCATCATGATTCCAGAAATGTATAATATGTCTATGTTGAAGAAGTGTGGCCTGATTTAGAGGGGTTTCATATACATGGACAGACAGACAGACAGAATTTATTTAGATGATTAATAAGATGTTTTATTTAATATTAGCATATTTAATATTAATAAGATTAATAAGATGTTTTATTATACAAAATAGATTCTATTGTCCAACTTGTTTTATACTGTGTTTGAAAAATATAAAAATGCAAAAAAACTATATCTTGTCATGTATATTAAATGTTAATTTGTGACTTTGTTTAAATAAGTTATGCCTCCTGTAGAAGTAGCAGTCTTCTGACATAAAGAATTCATAGCTAGTTGTTTCCCATCCTTTCTGATATTACACTTGAACTTTTGACCTTTAACTGAAAGCAACAGAGCAGTGACCAACTCTTAAGAAACATTTTGGCATAACCAAAGTGAATTAGTGGGAAAAAAAAATGCTTACAATGATAGAAGTTGTTGTCCACTCTGTGGCTTGATTTGCACATTTGACCAATTGAAATTTCCTGACATTAGCTGTCTGGAGCCGAACAGAATCCTTAAATAACTGAATCTAGAAAAGATAAAAGAGGAAATTACAATAATTAAAATAGACAATAATTTAAACAAATGGAAAACAAAAAATTACAAAAGAATAAATCTTAATTCAAACTGCCATATCTGGTCTGGTGCTCCTACCATATATCTCAAAATTCAAAGAAAGGTCTGTATAGTTATCAATCCTGACCTTGCATCTTGACCTCAGTCACTTTCTCAACACCATGATGTGGCTTCCCTCTGTCTTTTCTACAAATATTTTTCTGGCAATTATTCTAATGAGCTTTTTGTCTTAGTGCTTCAACCACATGAACTTAAGCATAGTACTACCAGACTGGCAATTTGGTGTCACCATTTTACTGCTGAACTAGCTAGATGCCATCACATGTTCTATTCTAATACTTTATTTTCTTGCACTTCATTCTCCTCACTAAAGTCTTCTCATTCTCTCTCACTCTCAGTAACCCTTTATCTTAGTGGCATTATCGCCATGCTTCTGGTTTCTTCCTTCCCTGACACTTACAATATTCAAAAGTCTAAACGTCTTCCAGAATCCAATTCTTTTATTGTCCTTTCTCCTCACTAAAGTCTTAAATCTTAATTCAAACAACCATATCTGGTCTGGTGTTCCTACCATATATCTCAAATTTCAAAGAAGGGTCTGTATATCTGTCTATATTTCTGAGATGAGGTATTATGTACACTATTTACATTATTCGGACTATTGTCCTCATCTTTGTCACCATATTTATTACATTTCAGCCCTTCAGTATCTTTCTATATTTCTGAGATGAGGTATTATGTACACTATTGTCCTCATCTTTGTCACCATATTTATTACAACATTTAAAGTCTTCTCATTCTCCCTCACTCTCAGTAACTCTTTACATCTTAGGGGCATTATTGCCTTGCTTCCCTGCCACCTACACTCTTCAAAAGTCTAAATGTCTTCTGGAATCCAATTCTTTTATTGTTCTTTCTCTTCGCTAAAGTCTTCTCATTCTCTTTTATTCCCAGTAACCACTTGTGGCATTATCACCTTACTTGGGGTAAAATCATTAAAAAATACACAACTGGAATAGAGGACATCATGCATTATACATGAGTAAATTTTAATTACGCATATAATTTACAAAACGGCTTGATACATTCTGGACATATAAAAATAACAAATAATAAAGTCAAAAAAGGCAACAGATAGAGAGAAAGAGAGAGAGAGAGAGAAGGAAATTCTTACTCACTTCCACTGTACTTGTTCTCATTGGCGTGATTTGTTGTATAATATGGACTCCGTGTATAGATTCACCAATAGCTGGGTTATTTACTACCAAAGTATAACTGTCAGGCACTGAGAGTTGGTGCTTTCGGTTGCCTAGGTAAGGGCTCACATCGTCAGCAGAATCAAAGCAGTGATCACTGTCGGCACTGCAACTGTCTTCAGAGACACTAGAATGGCCTGGAATAATTCCGTATGTAGCAGAAAACTTACGCAACTGTTTATCATGAACTGCACCACCATCATTGGTTGACCTTTCATAAAAATACAGAAATTACAAGATTTTGAGAATGGTGTAATATAATGGTTAATCAGAACGATTAATAATCATAATTAATATAGGTAAATTTATTGAATATAAAACAAGAAAGGGAAACGGCAAGAGAGAGAGAGAGCCAAGTTTGACAAGGCAGCAACAGAAGTGGAGTAATAAGAAAATGAGGTTTAAGGCTCCAAGATTTAGCTCCAGGATTGTCACAGAAAACAATAGCCTCTAGGATCAAAGCACTGGTTTGGGAATTTGGCATCATTGTAAATGTGAGTTCAGTCCCCGGCCTGGGTAATGTAGAAGTCAAATGACTTACCTTCCAACATGGCTGCCTTCTTGGTATATTTATTGTGAAAATAACACAATTATGGCACATGGCCTAAAAAGGGGAGGGGTTGAGTCTGGTTGACACTAACTATCCTATACCTAACTAATCCGATTCACGACCCATTCACTCATTACAATTTTCACATTCACTATAAAAACTCGTCTGTCACCAATCGATCATCCATACACCACAATACCACATACTCTCAAGGGGGACCTACAAAACACACCCCATGCCATAAAAATTTAATGATAATAAATTATTATACATAAAAATCTAATAATGAAGAATGAGAGAGGAGGGAGATGAACCTAATAATAAACTAAAAATCAACACAAAGTAAACTAAACATAACTGATGTTAGTAAGGCCCATCCAACCCTCAAAAAGGAGAGGCTGCTGTATTCTGCCCATGGGACAAAATCAAGAAACGCTCTTGCTAAGGGAGTGGGAAGGTGAAAATATAGATGGACATGGGGAAAATATAAAGCTGACCCAGTTGAGATAAAAAGGGACCAAAACAAACTTGGGAGGTTGGGAATCTCAACTTGGAACATAACCAAAGATGTAGCAAGGAACAGGCCGGGAACAACACTTACTCAGATTAACTAGGTACACAAAGCTTGTCAAGCCTAACCAGGGGAGGGCTCCACTGGAAGCCACCCCGATGTGATATAGGTAGACCTAAAAGAGAAAATCAAGGCTTGCCCTGTTCACATGAACCAGGCTCGCCTCAGTCACCCACCTTTTGCTAAAGATTGTCGAATGCAAGCATTTTCTATCAATTCTGATCTTCATCTTGCACTGATGCTCAAAAAATCAGATCAGATCCTGATGAGAAAGACAGTTGCCTCGCAAGACTTCATCCTGATGAGAAAGACGGTTGCCTCGCAAGACTTCATCCTGACTTGCCGAGTCCAAATCACCATTCAGGCCATAGTCAGCAGTGTCAGAAACACCATTTGTTTCACTCCAGAATATGGGGGCAACACATTGTTACACACATATGCACGATCGATGAGCACAAGATTTTTGGGAGTGAGACAAGCCGTCAACTTGCCGACATGGTCCCATAAGGGGCAGACCCGGGGACAATGGTAGAAGGCGTGCGAAGCCATTTCTTCTAAACCAAGGCCACATTGTTCACAGTCTGGCAAGTCCGCCAAGCCCCATATGAAGACCTTGTCATTGAGAGGCAGCCGAATCTGAGCCAATCGCCAGGTAAGTGAAAACTCAGGGTTACTAAGATAATCTGCCGCTGGTGCCCAAGACCAGAAAGAGCGAAACTCCTCCTCCGACAAGTCGAGCCACTCATGTAGAGGATCCTTTGCAACCCCCTCCACTAGATGATGATAGAAAACCTTCCTGGACTGAGAAAGGTCACTGGACTGAGGAACAGCCAACAAGGCCAACCGACACTCGCAAAGGAAATCCGATTGATCCTGGGGTTTACGATGGTGCTCAACCCACGAGATGTGGGGACTGATAGTAAAGAAAGGGAATGTGTCCCTAATAATCACCACCATAATCGAATCTTCTGTCAATGCGCAGCATAGGAAAACCAACCTCAAGCCCCAGCCCCCCATGACACGGATGCTGTGCACAGACTCGTCTGTCAACCCGATTCCCACATCCCCTCCATAAAATGGAGGATAGCGAGCGCTCGAGTGGCTTACTATAGTCATAACAGAGAGGAAGTACAGACAATCGATAAAGGACAATCAGGAAAATGTAAGTGGCACACGACTCTGCCCTGCCCTTCACGGACAACCTCTGACTGGCCTCGTTGACCTTTGCTTGTACTTCAGACCAATTTTTCTCCAACTGGAGGTTGGGTCCAAACCACACTCCAAGAATGCGGACAGGACCGTCCGTCCAACTGAAAGCCCCCGGAAAATCGACCCCTTCCAGGCACCTAACCAGACAACTTGTTGCGGTTAATCTTGGTCCCTGTCACCTTTTTGTACTGATCAAGTGCCTTCAGTACTACCTCAATGTTGCTGTGGGACGACACAAAAGCAGATACGTCATCGGTGTACAGGAAACCCTGGCTCGAGCCCCTCCAGGAATGGCGGTTCCACATAGGACCAGAGTGCACGCCCTGTTCCTTAGCCAGCAAAGGAAAGGCTTCAATGCCAAAGTATAGAGTAGGGGCAACAGTGGACAGCCCTGACGAACCGACCTAGACAGCGCAAAAGCGCCTGACAGCTTCCCATTCACCTGTACCACAGACTTGGGGGAGCAATACAGTAGGCTAATCCAGCGGCAGAAGTTGGGTTCAAATCCGGCAGCCTGCAGGACAGACAGCAACAAGGTAGCAATGGTCAACCCTATCAAATGCCTTGGACTGATCTAAATTGATCAGAGCTGCCTCATCGTCGTCTTTTACACCCTCTATGATTGCGTGGACCCAAATGACTGTAAACACTCCTGCAAGATCTTGGCCCAAATCTTTAACTCTGTTTAGCAGAGTTATGGGCCTATAATCATCTAAATCCTGCCCAACACCCTTGCCCTTTTTCAACAGCATGATCATGCCCCTGGTGAACTGGCTGGGGATAGACCCCTGCTGGAACCAGTTGTTGAATACCACCACCAAAATCGGGATAAAGATGTGCAACAGCCTCAAGTACAATTCATAGGGAAAACCATCCAGACTGGGCAACTTGCCTCTGCCGACCTTCTTCAATGCAGCATAGATTTCGCCCTCCATGATCTCTCCCTCGCTGCTAGCCACTTCAGTTGGTGAAAGCCGAGAAAAGTCAGCCAAATAGCTGCGAAATTCCTCATCACAGAGACCAAGCTCCTTAGTAATACTGCCAAAACACCTTGCACATGTCGTCAGTGGCCTGAAGAGTATACCTCTCCAGGGAATTGACCTCACAAATGTAACAATTGGAACTTCAACGAATCTCTTTCTTGTGCAAATCTGCATGTTCACAGCATTGGAAGACATCTTGCTTAACCTATGTCTAATTACCTGACCTAGTTAGCTGCTTCTGGAAGTTCTGTCTGTTCAGTAAGGACAGATTGATTTCCAATAGCCAGCCATTCTAGGCCTACGATCTAACGCCATCCAGGCACAAACGAGTTTGTGATCCGAATAGCCTACCCAGTGGAATGTGGGACAATCTAACAAGTCTATGCCGGCTCCTCTAACTAACATTCTATCCAGGTAGTTAACTACCCGGGTAAAAGGCCAATTAAGAGCCCACACCCACATTTTCCACCCGGGATGATTGACCCGGTATCTATCAACAAGACCCAAATCATTGATCAGATCAACCAGGCTATGGTCACCCCTCCTCCCACTAGCTCCCTGCCCCTTGTCTAACTTGGGGTCCAGGATGGCATTCCAGTCCCCCATTAACACTAGGCACATTGAATCCACCAGGAACGGCTCCAACCGCTGGAAAAAGCGAGACCTACTCCTCCTGGACATTGGGCACATAAACCGCAATGACTTGGAACAAACCACTTTTCATGGCAATATCGGCCATGATCAACCAGTCCTCAGCATCGGTATGCACATGATCCACCCTCATATCCAGGGTACATCTAACCAACAAAGAAACTCCTCTGGCCTGCCATTCCCCATATGCTGAATAAACAACAAAGTCATTATCCAGCACACATGCATCAATGTTGCAAACAAAGTGGGTCTTTTGGATCACAGCGACATCAATGCCAAATGGCTGCTTTCTTGTAAAGGCAAGCCAGCTAATTCTACCTTATCTATAGGAGAGTACCTAATGCAGCAGGTGGATTGGTTTGTTTTGCTGGAATGGACCTGCCTAACACATTTGCATGAGTGGTCTCTATTCACCCATATATCTCTCCATTAAATGACTCAAGGCTAGTTTTCAACTTGGTGGCTACACCAGTCTACTTGTAGGTCAGACCACTTGCAAGTCAACCAATATTCCACAGGTAGAACAAACACAGTCTCAGTGGAAACAGGATTAGCAATAACTGAGTACTAAAATAAAAAATAACAAGACGATGTCCTTAGACATAGACTGTGAAATGAGAACAATCTAATTCCTTAAATTAAATAAAGTGTTCAGTTTGAAATTCCTGGAAATTTAACAGGACCTAGATACCTGAAACAGGCCATTATATGGTAGCAACAAAAATGAGGACATTAATGTGATAGTAATACAAATAAGAAATATTAATAAAATATAAGGTGTATATATATAAAACACTATAGAACTTTAAATGCAAGGTGCATCATGTAATTGAGAGCAAATTATAGTATGACTTATAAGATTAATTTTTTTCTTTTTTTTACAGTGATGTTCACTTTGTACAATGCCCAAGAGTCACTCAAGGTAAAGGGTTACAGACTTTATAATTGAAAAGACTCTTCAAGTGTCAACTATTTCATTTTCTATATGCCTTGTATTAGGTGAACTTTAGTATCAAAAATTAAAAAACAAAAAGAGAAGTGATCATGATGTACCATGTGTCCCACCACCAATGCTCCTTGCCAGGTAATTCTGTGTAGTTCACATTTGTTCTTAACTCTTCCAGAAGACGGTACATTCTTCGTGCAAAATATGGATGGACTGTTCTGTCATTGGCACCAATTCTTGCCAAAACAGGAATTCCCTATGAAAAATAAAATAAATTAATTTTAAAGTATGAAAAAACATTTTATTTTTGATGTAATGGAACAACCAGGCACCCCTATGAATGATTACACTCTAGGTAGTAAGTACCTATAAAGTCAACTGTCTATGAGAGACAGGGGAAGAGTGAGAGAGAGAAGATGCAAGTACGTTTGACCTTCCAATTAGTAGCACTCACTACTAGAATGACCTGTGTGTATAACTGTACCATATTTCATATTGTACTTGTTGTGTATAATAAACCTTTCTTCTAGTATCCACCTGGTGTTATGTATTTATTCCTATAGCACAGAATATAACAGTGGTAACGAGGATTGTCGGAACATAACAATTTTGAATAAATTTAATATTAATTCTATGCTAGAATATATATAAATAGAAAAGTGATTTTATATATATATATATATATATATATATATATATATATTATCCCTCACCACTAGCAGAGCTCTGAGCTTCATGCATGACGCAATCTTCAGGTGCTGAGTATGAACTTACTGTTACGCCATTGGAATTATAATCTGGTTATCACAATGTTGGTGTAGTTATATATTATGCTGGGATTACAGTTTTTTTAATTCTAAAATTATATTTGGTAATTAAAATAAGCAGGAATTATATATGTATGTAAAAAAAGAAAATTAAAAACTTATGTACTTGTCTGGGGGAATATTCATTGTTTAATTTGTTTTAAATCATATAATTCAAGGGAGATTACTTGTTCTTATTAAAACATCAATATATTTATTTAATAGTAATATAATAAAAAATAAACCTTAATTAGCATTAAAAATAACAATTAAAAAAAATAATTAAAAATTAAGAATTTAACAATTAAAAATTAAATATAAAAATAAAATTTTATTTTTTATAAGATTTTTCATTTTTTAAAATTCATTTTAAATGATAGATATTGCTTTTTAGTGGGGATTCCTAAGCTAAAAAGCTTAAAATACAAAATAAACTGAGGGTTCAATACCAAAGTTGGCAGAGCTTAAATATAGGATATTATAATAATATTAATGCAATAATGTTAAAATAATAATACAAATCCACTATACAGAGTTTAATGTTGTAATAGTGACACATTAAAATGCAAGGCAGACTTGCCTTCACAGCTTTGAGTGGCAGCTAATCTAAGAGAAAGGAAATTCTGAAGTCTAAACCATGAAGAAGGCAATGAGACACCATTCTGCCATCTTCCGAATGAAGTCATTTCTATTCAGTGATAAGAAAAGTAATCTGTGGAGATGATTACCGACATCTTGAAAGAAGAAGATATTAAAAATGGAGAAGTAGAAAGATATCGAAAGATGAGTTTGCATCATCTAAGATGAAAATTATTTTCTATCATTTTAGTTTATTTTTTATTATTTGTTACTCCTTTCAGAAGATTATCTCACATGGATCTAATGACTTTTGCAGTTTCACTTGACAACTCTCTTTTTCTTAACCCATCCTTTAGTCATATGCAGAAGTACTGGGGGTGGGGGATTCAAATGCCTCATTGAAAATATATTATGATAAAAGTAATATGAGACATTTTCTTACAAAGAAAAATTTGGCATTCATTGGTTGAACATCTAGTATTGCTTTTGTTTGGCTTGGTTTGTTTTGTTTTACGGCATATCTACCTCAATGGATTATTTAATGCTGACAAGATTTTTATTGCTGGTAATATTTTTTTACAAAAATGTCTCGCTGGTAAATTTTTTCTTTTCAAAAATGTCTCGCTGGTAAATATTTTTTTTTTCAAAAATGTCTCGCTGGTAATTTTTTTTTTTTCAAAAATGTCTCGCTGATAATTTTTTTTTTTCAAAAATGTCTCGCTGGTAATTTTTTTTTTTTCAAAAATGTCTCGCTGATAATTTTTTTTTTTTTCAAAAATGTCTCGCTGGTAATATTTTTTTTCAAAAATGTCTCGCTGGTAATAATTTTTCTTCAAAAATTTATTGCTGGTAACAATTTTTTATAAATATTTCTGGTATTAAAACCTATTTTTACACTTTCACAGCATTTTGAAACCAGTTTTGGGGGTTAACTATTTTCCCATAGCTGGGACCCTAACAGGTGCTACCACCCCAGGTCAAGGTGGACCTGGGAACACCAGCAATTAAGAGGTGGTTCTATACTCCTTAAAACCTTGTGATCATAGGCCTTGCTGTTGGACATAGTTTATCGTCTTGTGGACTCATCCATTATCCTTAACTTTCCAACCTGACAAAAGCAGAGTCCACATTGTATGCCTACGTACCAAAAAAACCTCAACCAATAAAAACGGCAAGAAAAGAAGCAAACAACCCCATTGGTCAATCACTTGAAGTTCACGTGCAAAACGGAAATTGCGCCAAAATTCAAGTGAGCCACCCGGTGGAGATATAAACCGAGAATGTTTGAACCTTCAGAGGAGAATAGCAGCAGTAATTACCAAGTTTCAAGATGTAACATTCACCGATTCCATCTTAGTCATTGCTGACCAGACGTTAAAGACAATTACCAACTCTACGCCAGTCAGTCTCACGAATTCGCAGAGTAATTTCCAATATACTCCACGCCACTACAAACCATAATTTTGCCGCGCACGAACACATTTGACTGACTCACATTCGAACATTCATCAATCAACTCTGTGAACACTTTTCTTAACTTGCTTATGTACAGTGAGAATTCACTACAAAAAAGATAAGTAAACATCAAATACGTTTAAGGGAAGAACACTCAAAAAAACTCTTTCCAAAAACTCTTATTATTCATAATTACGATATTCGACACAAACAAAAAGACAGCGAACCAACGAACAATATCAACAAAGAGACATTCACAAAAATCAAACAATTACACACACAATTTTGTCCACACGACACACACTGATTATCCAATCTGTATATTGATAAATTGTATATAAATGTTGCATTGTTTTCTAAATTGCATTTGTCTCATTTTTAATTGCATTTGAAAGTTCATTTATTTATATGTTTGGGGATGCAGTGAGACATGCAGCCACTAAAATTTCCTTCTGATTCTTTCTTAAATAATTAACAATCCTGCACGTCCCCCACAGTCTTACCCAGAAGGCAGATGTAGTTTATCATCATAACCAGAATGATACTGCTTTTGGTTAAGATTTATAACATCTTACTCTTAAAACAATTTTTCGAAAAAATACATTTTTCAAGTTCAATAGCTGTTATTGTCCCATCCAGTATTGATGGGGTTTCATTCATAACCATTTATTTGTGTAGAATGTCAACTGGGGGGAGGGTCAAATGCTCCATTAAAATAAATACAAGAAAGATTTTTTTCATTTTTATTAACTCATTTTAAACCTTAGGTTGGCAGAGCTTAAATAGAGGATATTATAATATTTCTGGTATTCTGAACACTTGCCTGTTTCCTTGTGAGAACAGGCCTTTTCCTTGTAATCTCCTTTTTGACTTACTATTAATCACATCCTTTTCTTGTAGAAAATGTAACCATCTTGTTAGATCATTGATGCTTTCTAAAAGTCTCACGTCTTCTTGTTATTACTTTAATATTATTTGTTTGGGTAGGTGGATGCCTGGCATCTGGGCAAGGTGTCTGGGCTATCAGTCAGTGGTGAGTAATGAGAATTTCTAGGCTTTGCATCTTTGCACAGAGGAGAACTTTGTTGTTAGTGATGCAGTCCTGCCATGTTCTGCAAGATTTGACAAAGTACTATCTTAATATTACTCTGTTAATATATATATATATATATATATATATATATATATATATATATATATAATATTACTCTGTTAATATTATATATATATATATATATATATATATAAAATATTACTCTGTTAATATTATATATAAAATATTACTCTGTTAATATTATATATATATATATATATATAATAGCTGGCCACTCGTATCAAGGATACTCGTCTATTAGGGTGGCTAGCCAATGCCTATTGCAGACATTCACTCAGACACATTTGTGTTTGTTCAACACCCACCGAGCCTACCTGTGTTTTATGCTGCAACTGAGCAGACCTTAGTTAAATGTGTTATCTAGCATGATCAACAATTTGAATAAGGCCAGCACATTCAAACCCTCAGTCACAATGACTTGTGATTTCATGCTAGCACAGCTATCGACAGCCCCCAAGGGTTCTGTCTACTCAGTTTCACTCACAAGGCTTAGGTCAACTCATGGTATGGTTTTCAGGCACTTTCCAAAGGTACCACATGCTGGGATCGCCCCCTGTTGACTTACCAATACTTATATTAGGTTGGGGGTTGTACAGTAGGCTAATAAACTACTCACCCCCAAAAAACCTGGGTTGTTATAGAAACCACAATTATCCAATTATATGTTGCAGCCATATGTTCCTCAAGGAATTTAACGGTATAATATATATATATATATATATATATATATATATATATATATATATATATATACATATGGTCACAACATATATATATTTCTTATTACTATAAATATTATTTGTCATGGGTACACATGTTTGAGTTGCTGTTAGAGGCAGAAATTTTCTATTTAATACAATTTAAGATAAATGTTTAATAATACAGTGTTATCTTTTATATTTTCATGGCCTTATCTGGAGTTTATCATGGTCCACAAATCTCAAAAAAAAAATACTGCCAATGTGGCACACTGGTGAAAATGTTTACTAACCTTTGGTTTTCAAAACAACAGCCTTGGAGAATTAAAATTTATGAGAAATTATTTCAAAATGCACCTCATGGTTACCTTCAGGTTTTGAATATGTCTGTCTGCATCATTTTCAGCGATAGTTGCTTCCATTAGGGCCTTAACAACAGGATCAGTATGGCTGGTTGAAATATCATGTCTGCAATAGAAATAAAAGGAAGTTTAATGTCTGCAAGGAAAGGAGTGGGAAGTGTTGCATCTACAACAGAAATGATTGGAAATGTCAAATCTACAATGAAAATAATGGGAAGTGTCATGTCTACAATGGAAATGATGAAAAGTGTCACATCTACAACAGAAATGACAGGAAGTGACATGTTCTACAACAGAACTGCCGAGAAACTTCATATCTATAAAAGTGGACATTGATGTCAACACCCAGAGATAAGAGTCTGTTTCATGATAAACTCAATCATCAGACTGTGTGTGTTGTGTTTTTGCTTGACTTTTTATATATATAGGTCAGTGATGCATTATGGGTATTCTATTGCATTGTGGGTAGTCTATTGTATTATTCTAATGGATATTTTGGTGGCCATGTTTTGGTAATATGTTTATTATTTACTTAGTTTATTTACTTATTTATTTGGATTAATTTATTTTATTTGTTTTTGTTTATTTATTTTATTTTATTTATTTTAATTTATTCTTTGTTCATTTTCAGTTTTTGATTTTTCAGTAACGGAGTAAAAATTTGATTTCATGTCTGCATTTTGAGATGAATTCTGATTGTTTATTTAGTAATTTGTGTTGGTCTGGGAAGGTAAATATAGCTATTTTTCCAGGCAGAGTTTACAGTTTTTAGATTTATTGTTTAAGGCTGATGTTCATTTCATATATATATGATAAAATATAGTTTTAAGGTATGCTATATTTTATAGTTAAATTACTCAATATCAAGGATAGAGCATATGCAAATATAAAAGTGGACATTGAAGTCAACACCAAGTTTGTCTCATACAAAACGTAATTGTCAGGTCATATATATATATATATATATATATATATAGATATATATTGTCATCGGAACATGCTTGCATCCAAGCACCAGGAGTGTCATCCCTTCTCCCTTCTGTTGGTAATGATGGAGGGGGCTGTGAAGGCCCAGCCCACTCCTGAAGTTGTGAGCAGGAGTCATGTATACTTTATATATATATATATATATATATATATAGATAATATTAGTGAAAAATATACATACATATGAAAAATATATCTAAAAAAATTCCCATACATGTATATTTTCAGAAAAAATTTTCCAAGAGGAAGGATCGAATTGTCTGTGGTGTGTATATGTCACCACGAAATGTATCTTTATGTATTAGACATCCGTCGACTTTCTTTCTCTCCTCTTTTAAATCCACCCCCACCCACATCTCCAAAAAAATTCTCTCTGTCACTCATCCTCATACTTACACTTTCTCTAAATTCTGTTTTGATTTCCGGAGTTGTTTTTTTCTGTCTTCATTTTGAATTTGTAGGTCTGATGATTTGGATCGTATTTACGATTCCAATGGAATAAATTATGAGCATGGAATATTAGTGTTTAAGCCTTTTTATTATATATATATATATATATATATATGTAAAAAGTGTGTGTATATAAATAAATATATATATATATAATTATTTATATATTATATGTGCAGTACTTATTAGAAAGTGCTCAATATCAGAGATAGAGCTAACATATTTGGTTGGATAGATGTGAGTTTGTGACACTGGGTTTCATGCTTTAGCGATCGTCAGACAAACTGATTAATTTTTTTAAATTTTGGGTTTATGTAGATTGCGTGTATTGGTGTTATTATGGAAGTGGTGGGGGAAACGTCATCGTTGTTGTGTTAGTACGATGACACAACGAACAGAAACATTAATAATGAGTGGAAAGAGGAAAGAGTAGTCAGGAGGACAGTAGATAGCGATTGACATTGTATTTAAATTTTTGCAGATTAAAGTTGGTTGGAAAGCATGGAGCCGGAAAGGAGTTCCACGGGCGAGAAGTGTGAGAAAAGAAACTGTTAGCATAGAACTTACGGCTACATCTAGCTAGCTCAAGTGTAAATTAATGAGATCTCGACACCAGTTTAGTACTGTGTTTAAATTCATAGAGTCTAGGTACCACAGTGAAGTTCACATCTGAACAATTAACATTTACCATTTATAAAAATGGCACAAAGAGGCAACCTTATGTTAGTAGGAAAATGACTGAAGCTGAGTTATCAGATCAGAACCAATAATATTGCTGATTCTTCTTTGGATCTTATCAAGGAGCTCAAGGTAAACAGTAGAGGCACCAGATCATATGTGGCAGCAATATTGTAAGCATTAATAAATGGTAGACTTATGGATATGTAAGATAAATTCTGGAGAGAAAAATTGTCTTGCATGACACAGTGAACCAACCTTCTTAGTAGCTGACCTAGCAATGGTTTCAATATAGTCTTTCCACTTTATGTTAGCTGAGAACGTTAGCTCAAGAAGGCTTGACAAATCACTTTCTTGGAGGTTAGCATCAGCCATGCTGATGGAAGGCAGAGAGAGGTCTCACTGATGATTAATGGTGAGAAGTTTAGTTTTGGAAATTAACAAGCCATCTTTTGCCCCAGTTAACAATGGACTTGAGGTTGTTTGGGCATTTTGATCTTGTCGGACTGATCAGCCTTACTATCGAGGTTGTGTCATCAGTGTCATGACTGTTCGGTTCAACTCTCTTCCTACAGGTGGGAGGAACCCGAAGGAGTCTACGCCGAAGGGCGGAGTCTCCTTCGGGGAGGTAAAACCAGCCCTGAACCCGTTTATACAGGTTCAAATGGGCTCTTTTTTGGCCGAGCCTAATGGAATATCGTCATCAGTGTAGGACACCCATGTTAATATGAAAAGATCTAGATGAGTGATTGTTCAAGATAACTTTCATTTCACAATTTGATAGGAAAGATTGGATCAGCTCAAAAATGTGTGTGGAGACACTATAATTTTTCAGCTTGTGGAGAAGACCTGTATGCCAGACCCTGTCACAGGCTTTCAAGATATCCAGTTCTACAGTCTGTCTTTATCTAGTGATAATTAGCAATTATCATCAGGACATCAGCAGTTGACCTGAAAGATCAAAAGCCATATTGATTGTCTGAGAAAAGGCCCAGCGATGGGAGATGATCAACCACTTCAACAATTCAGCATTGAATAGAGCCTCTAGGAGTTTACCAAAGAGAGGTAGAAGGCTTATAGGCCAGTAGTTGGAAAGGTCGGACAATTCACCAGAGTTCTTAAAAGCTGGAACAACAGATGATGACTTCCAGCAGCAGGAAAGCAGAAGGCAATAAGGCATTTATTATACAGTTTAGAGAAAACAGGAGCCAGTTCAGGAGCACACTTCTTAAGGACTATTACAGGGATACCATCAGGTCCACATGCTTTGTAGGGATCTAGGTAGAGAAGATAGCAGAAACCAGGGATGGGGTTATATGAATATCACTCAAATTTGTTTTGCTGCCCATATCTAGGAAAATGTTATCTTCTATTTTAGTTACTGCCAAGCTCAACCCAGACTTCAAGTACAACTCATACATATGATCCATTGCTAAAGGTGCTGGAAAAAAATGGTCAGTTCTCTGTACCATTCCATTAAGTTTCTGATTTCCCATGCTATCCTCTACCTTTACAAGAACCAGAACAGGCTAAAAATGGAGTACTGATGCCCAATCGTCACTTTCCCAAAAGCATCTCTTGTGGGTGATGAATTATTTTCCAAACTACAATCCCTGTTGCAAGCCTCTCACTGCTTTACCCCTATTTCCATGGAAAGTGTTCAGACGAACTACATTCCTTAGTTTCACCAGCTCTTACCTTCACGGTTAGGACCCACCATGCCACACCCATTGTAGTGAACCACCTTCATTCTTTCCATATTCCATTAGTGAAATGTAAGTTCCACTCAAGCAGCTTCTTCCTACAAACTGCGGCTTTGTGGAACAGACTCCCAAGAGGATGCTTCCTCAATCACTATAATCTTAACCTGTTCAAGTCTAGGGTTAACCATTATCTTCCCCCACATATCCCCATAAACTGTGCCTCTTATTTTGTAACTCTCTACCTTGGGTGGCTCTTAGGCCTTGCACAGGCTGAACATCATTGTAAAAACAAATTAGTTTGTTATTTTCCTTCATCAGATTTGTTCTTATTTCTAGCTGTACTGAAAATCTCTTTATAACATATGTCAAATCCTATTTTTACCCACATCAGGTTAATTACTCAGAATCTAAAAACTCCTGGTCTAGATTACTTTATAGAGTGTAGACATTTCTTGGGAAAAATATGATGTAAAAACAAAAAAACATAAAAGAAGTCATACCGGAAAAATAAGTTGCTGTCCCCATATTCCTCTTTTTTTATCCATCCTGCTAAAGATATAACACCAAGAGCACGGTCAGGAAAATGAGTTCCAAGATGCCAAGCACCGTGACCCCCCATTGAATGACCTGAAAAAGAATTGTGGAAGGTTGAGTGAGATAAAAATTTGGCCTTGTAAAAATATTCAACTTATTCACAAGGAAAATGGAAAAGAAGAAAGCAGATAATATGTAGCTCCAAATATTTATATGCCAGAAATTGGCGAAGGGTTTTAGAAAAATTCTTTCTCTTTTGTTTTAAAAAAGAAAAAAGTACTTCTTATAAAGATAGTTTTGATATAATTAGAAATAGATTGCACACAAGACGATTTCTTAATCACTCTTATTATTTTTACTTTTGGCTCTAACTGTAGAATTGTAGCCATGAAGAGACCAATAGTTTGAGCGTTCAAAATTATTTTTGCTGCAAGGGAGTCTGCAAAATATGAAGTTATTTTGCTGCAAGTGAGTCTGCAAAGTTCAAAGTTATTTTGCTGCAAGGGAGTCTGCAAAATATGAAGTTATTTTGCTGCAAATGAGTCTTCAAAGTTCAAAGTTATTTTGCTGCAAGGGAGTCTGCAAAATATGAAGTTATTTTGCTGCAAATGAGTCTGCAAAGTTCAAAGTTATTTTGCTGCAAGGGAGTCTGCAAAATATGAAGTTATTTTGCTGCAAATGAGTCTGCAAAGTTCAAAGTTATTTTGCTGCAAGTGAGTCTGCAAAGTTGGCCACAACAAAGTAACATTTTTACAGCGGTACATATATTTACATGTTAGAAATAAATTTTCTTTGTAGGTAAATCCAAATATGCTGGTTTTAGTCTGTCTATGGAGACAGTATCTTGTTTAACCTTTTTTATAATGCAAAAATATTTTGGTTTTCTGTCAACCACTTGAAAAGGTCCTGAGTAAGTAAGGCAAAGAGGCATTTTTACTGCATCATTTTATAAGAAAATATATTCAATGTCATCTTTCTTTTAATATCATAAAAAGTTTTTAAAGTTTTCCCAATTTAGAAAAAAAGAAGTAACATCTTCGTTTTTTTTATACATCCCCAATTTTATTTTTAAAAAAGTAAATAAATGTTATGGTCCAGTTCCTTGTACCACGGTGATAGTCCAAGGTAGAACCAATAAAGAAGAACTCGAACACAGGTAATGAATAACACAGATATATTACAAACAGGAATATATACAGAGAAGTAGAAGTGTTAGTATGAATAATCAGGTTTAGTAGAGAGAACAATGTAGTCTCGACCAGTATCACTATTCCAATGTCTTGCAGTAATTGTCTGAACGCGACTCTGTTTCGGACTGCCTCTGACTCGACTCTTGACTTGACTTGAACTACTGACACCTTATTGAACTACTGACTCGACTTGCCCACTCCTGAGTACAGTATTTATTAAGTATGGAATAGTCCATTATTATTATTATGGGTAAGATCCCATAACAATAAATAAACACAATTGTACTTTTATTTCATAATTTGTCAGTGACGAGTTATAAATACCCAGCGTTTTAAAAGAAACATGGAAAAAACCTGGCATCATACAGGCATTAGATTCTGAGAAATGGATAAAAATATTAAAAATGGATGGGTGTATGAATAATTTCATCATTGACTGTGTATATATATATATATATATATATATATATATATATATATAAATTACATGTAGATAAAATTCAAGACCCCATATGATATATGGCCATTTCATCTAAAACAGGATTTTCAACACTAATAAGTTAGATAAAAAATTGAATCATAATGTTTTTGTAAATGGGAAGAAAGAGGAGGAAAATTCACCACTAACAGAAAATGTATTTAAAATGGGAGGGGGGGAATAAAAAGATAAAGAGAGAAAAAAAAAGGAAAGGAAGGGAATAAATTAAAGTGGATAGAGTAAATGAATAGTAAAGAGAGAAATTAAGATGGGGTATTGAATTTCATCTACATGTAATTCATATATGCTCTATAATAAATATATTGAGCTCTCTTCTGTGGATCAGTTTTAATATTTTATATTACTAGGATTCACTTGGATTATTTACCATAGATTTTTACCTGTGTGTATATATATATATATATATATATATATATATATACATTTGAATGATAATTCTAACATTTTTAGGCATTTAAAACAACATGCCTGGCCGTATACACAATTCTGGAAAATCCTTGTTGAAAACACAACAATACTTAAACATGAAAACGATAAACAAAAACTAAAAATTCTTCAAGCTATATACATAAAACAGTTGAAACCTAACCTGAACAAAATAAACTATGAAAACTCAACAAATATACTTAAATGCCTATGTTTCATAACAGAAGCCATTGGTATATACCAACGGCTTCCCATACTTAATACTTCTCATTTTCACTCTCGTGTGGTCATGTGTGATGTCATGAGCTGCGGTGCAATTTTTGCTTCCAGTATGCAGAAGTTTGTCGTTGCTTGGAAATCTTCCATGCAAACAAAACAGTCTATTATTGTTGCTATGTCTGTGTATTTTTTAATTTATTGTAATGTACTTGTCATCTCTGATGATGGCTTATGTAAGCCAAAAGCTTAGATAGGATTAAAAAAACATGTATCAATATGGTGATTTTCTTTTGTCTTTCAATGATAATGTTATTAAGCTTATTAGATGATATAAAAGAAATTTGCTTAAAATAAATAGACAAAATTTGTCTATATTATTTAATGAAATATGCATTAATATATAACTTTAAGGGATTAATGTGCATTATATATATTGTATTCCATCTGGGGAGGGGCGGCAAAAACACTAGCTACAACACTGCTGTAGGTGACCAGTTTTATTGCAAAACTGTCCTGGTAATGTTAATGATGTCCCAAAGATCAATTCACATGCTGTGTATCCTAAATCCTATATGGTTTTAATACCAGAAATACTTTGTAAAAAATTATTACCAGCAATAAATTTTTGAAGAAAAAAACTATGACAAGCAATACATTTTTGAAAAAAAAAATATTACCAACAATGTTTTTTTTAAAAAATAAATATTACTAGCAATACATTTTTGAAAAAAATTATTACCAGTAATACATTTTTGAAGGAAAAATATTACCAGAAATAGATTTTTGACAAAACAAAATATTACCAGCAATAAAAATTTTGTCGGCATTAAATAACCAATTGAGGTTGATATGCCATAAAACAAAACAAACCAAACCAAACCGAAACAGGAACTAAAATACACTCATACTTATAATGAGAAGGAGACAGTTGAAATTTATGGGGTGCATAATGAGAAAAGATGGCTTAGAGAATTTAACACTGACAGGACAGACTGAAAGCAAGGGGAATCAGCAAATAATCAAAATATTAGCAGCAATAAAAATCTTGTTGGCATTAAATAACCCATTGAGGTTGATATGCCATAAAACAAAACAAAGCAAACCAAACCAGCAATAAAAACCTTGTCGGCATTAAATAACCCATTGAGATTGATATGCCGTAAAACAAAACAAAGCAAACCAAACCAATGATAATGATGATGTAAATAAGCCTATATTTTGCCTAATGCGTTTGCAGAAAATATACTTGCATCAAAATATTCTTTATTCCTCATAAACAAACACGTTTCAAGATGACAGATTTGCTTTTTAAAACAATAATATTTATCTCTCTTGTATCTGTTCTGATTGGTGAATGTTATAAATTTAATTCTAACTAACCTGTAAATATAACATGCTGTGTTGAGATCTTGTTTTTCAGCCAAGTCAGTGGCTGCACAATCTCTGCTAGCCTGTTGAGAGCCGTCATTGCCGTCAATGCACCTGGCCCTTCCCAATTGTGAGCCCCATGCCTGAAAATGTAAGAAAATAAAAAATTTTTACCTCTGTCTTTTTAATGTTGGGAAGATACCTGGTCTTGATGATGGCCATTAATCAGACAAAGGTTACAGAATAATTGCAAAGATTAAAAAGTCAAAATCAAGATAGTTTTCAAAAGACCAGAAGAGGTCAATACTGAAATACTCAGAGAAGTAGCCATGCAGGTGTCTGTTCTAGAAAGTGCCAGTTTTTTTTTCTTATAGTTAGAATAAGTTATATAGGAAAAGCTGAGAGGAACTTCATCCTTACAAATGGAATATGGAGGATGATTCAACTCTGTGGAAATGGCATGGTGTATCCTAGCTGTAAAGGACTGAACTGGCAGAACTAAAAAATGGAAATCACCTGAACATTTGCCAAAGAAATAGTGACAGAGTAGTGACAGATACTAAAAAGATATTGACCAAGAAAGCAAAATTATGTTTGGTTATTTGGTCAGATTTTAGGAAGCAGGTCTAGCTGAGAACTTTTCAGCAGCACCTTCTGTCTAAAAAGGATGGTCCAATAATAATACCTCCTATTTATTTCAATGAAAAACCACAACAGATACAGAGCTTCACAAAGCTCTTCCTGGCCAAACAATCAAAGCATGCCAGGTTAGACTGTGGTTCCTCCTGCAAAGTGGGGGTGCAGGTTTGAGTCCTGCTGGAGGGTACATTTTCTTTATTAACTTTTCTCAGTTTCGCAGACTGAGACAGAAAATAAATACTGTTTAAAATAAGTGGAGCATCAACTCAAATATGGGTATCTACTAGAAATAATGTTTCCTGACCAAGAAACTCAACCAAAAAGTATGTGTGGTCAGATTCTAAGAACAGGTCTGAAGGAATGGTCCAATAATAATACCTTCTACTTATCTCTCACTCCAAAAAAAAAAAAAACCTACTGAAAGAAAACATAATCAAGAATTACATATATAGCAGCAGTATCCACAGTAAAAAAAGAGAAGCCACAGTGCGTCAAGCATTAACAGCACTCAGCAGCAGGCAGGTTAGGTTTAAGACTCCAAGTTCTCCACTCAGGATAGTCCCATAAGATAATAGGCTAGTGGAGTAAAGCATTGGTTTGTGAATTTAGTGACAGTAATTGTATACACAATCCCTAGGCTGTTCAGTGTGTAATTGTACTCAGTAGAAACAGGAAGAGCAATAACAGAAAAGTACAGGAATAAGAATGAGATGAAATATCCCTAGAGATTGTCAATAAGAACGATCTACTTCTGTTCAAGAGTTCAGTTAAAAATTGCCTGAAGGCTACCTGGATCAACAGGAACTTGATGAAGTCGTAATAAAAACAATAATATCAATAATGTAAATAACTGCATATATATTATATATGCAGTTATTTACATTATTGATATTATTGTTGTGGCAGAAAGTACACAAGTTGAACTATCTGTAATACCAGTGATAAAAAATCTGGTATGGCTAATCATGCATAGAGAGACAAAAGAGACACGATCTTTATGGAATAAGGTCAAAATAATAGCATTGGTGATTAATATGGTTGAAGGAATCTACACACATATTATGCTCAGATAACCCAATCAGTAGACCAAGTACTGATATTAGTACTATAATTATTCATGTATAATATGTACATATTTTTAGAGATTTTCTAGTTTTTTGGGGGTTTTTTGTATATGTGGATGCATTGTGTTTTCTTTGGTTGTTTTCGAGTGTCACATTTTTGTGTACTGGTGGATGTTATGTTTTTTTTTTACAGTACAAAGCCCAGAGCCACTCGAGATAGAGGGTTATGTTAAGAGGTAGTTTATATGGATAAGAGGGGAAGGTAATGGTTGACTCTAGACTTAAACAAGTTAAGATTGTAGTGATCAGGGAATCATGCTCTTGGGAGTCTGTTCCATAGGGTAGTGGTTCATGGGAAGAAGATGTTTGAGTGGTACTTCTTGCCTATAGAATGTGGGTCGTTTGCTACTATGTAAGTGGAATGGAAGAACCTAGCTGGGAAGGTCAGATCTGGTGGAACCAGGAGATGGAATTCGTCCAAGCACTTTCTATAGTAGAAGCAAGAGAGTGGTGAGAGTCTCACCACATCTCATCTGTCAGAAAGAGGTTGCAATGTAGAAAATAATTCTTCTCCAACAAGGACTTGGAGATGCTTTTGAACTCTATCAAGACTAGAGAGTGAGATCTGGGCAGCTCCTGCCCAAATATGGCAACAGTACTCTATTTTTGGCCTCATCTGGTTCCTATAAAGGTAGACGATAGCATGAGGAGTCAGGTATTTACTGGAGCAGTACAAGGAGCCAGTCGTTTTACCTGCATCTTTAGCAATAGATCATATATATGAATTCCATTTGAGGTCGGGTGTGAGTTTTGAGGCCCAATATCCTTTCAAGGTGTGGTGACACCTTGAGGGGACATCTGTTCATCATGAATAGTGGTAATTCGAGGTCTGCTCAGTGGTGATGGAATGTAACCAGTTTTGTTTTAGAGAGATTAAATATAAGCCAGGTTTTTCCCTACTTGCAAGTTACTATTAGATCGGAAGAGAGGTCAGCTACCAATCTCTGATCATCAAAACCTTTAGAGGTTTGACAATATATAGTGGTATCATCAGTATAGAAATTTACAAATGATCAGAGTATATTTATAGCTTGGAAATAAATTTGGGAAAAATCAAAATTAATTACAAAATCCAGCAAAAGTCACCCATGAAATAAAAATAATTGTTTGTATGTAAAGTAAGGACCTACATACATCAAATTGTATTACTTAATAATTAAGTAATTACTTAAGTAGCAATAGAAGAATTATTGTTGAAATATTAAAAGGTAAGCTTAAATATTAAAGCAATACTTAAATGCAGCGATCAATTTTGAGTTCTTCTGTAGTTTATTGTTGCCTATCATACTACTCCTCTCTACCTATTGTGATGAAGGCCCAATCAAGAACTTTCCGCAGAAGCTAGGTTAAATTCCACCTGATAGGGCAGCTTTTAAGTTAGTAAGTAAATAAAAGCAAAAAGCAAAAAAAAAAAAAATGAAAACAAAAGAACAAACCTTGTTGGTGCCAAGAGCCAAATTCCTTCGAGACCAAACTGAAATTCATGTCCCACCATTCTTTTGTAGCTATCAGCCTGATTCTGTGCTGGAACTGAAGTTCCATGGAGAGTTAGAAGAACAGAGCAAAGGTTGGCTGGACAGTCACCAATCGGTGCAATAGCCGCTCCCTGCTGGACAGAGCCATCATGGTCCAGAAAAGAGAACAGAAATGTCTGGTCTAATTTCCGACAACGGAGATTTATTGGGGCAGCTTCTATCTGACCTTCTGAAGTAGAAATTTCCAAAACAAAGTCTATACCATTTGGATAACAGCCACTGGTCAATCGGTCATCAGTGGAATCAATACGCACTACAATCGGGAAAATTTGACCAGGAGCAACATTCCGTTTCTCTGTCACTTCAAGAGAGAAGGGTTGTCCATATGACTGACTCACAAGACTAACACCAATATTTTTAAGCCATTTTGAACCATGAAAGTTAGCAACAGGTATACTGAAATACTTGCTAAATAGGTACCCCTCGACAAGGTCGGGGATCATTGTTGGCGAAAACACATCAAAGCTAGCTCCCACTGTCTTGAAGACACATTTGAAATTCGCATTCACCTTTGCCCTTACTTTGGCATAAAGCACATGTATCCCTCTGGATAGGGAAATACTGACCATCAAGTGGTCTCGGTGATAGACATCTCCTACAAGAGGCACATGGTCAATGTAGATTGTAGTTATTCCGTGACATTGAAGGACAACTGTCTGTTCTTTTTCATTGATTGCAATTTCACCAACAGCCCAACCCTGCCACTCAGTAATACCCATTGATCCGAGAGAGCCAACTAGGTCATTCCATTGTAATTCTGGAGATATACGAATCAGAAATTCTCCAAGGTGTCGATAGATTTTCCACTTCACTTCACCTCCAGGAACCATTTCTGAATAATACTTGACCTACAAACAAATAAAAAGAACTGTTTAAGTTTTGTGGTAAAACTACACCCTTGTGCAAATTAATTGAACCAAAACGAATAATTTCATTATTATTTACTTTTTTTTCATATTTTTCCAATGAAACATGACCCAGTGCACATGTTAGTACTTCGTATGTCCATTCCACGAAGTCTTCCCTTGCAGATTGACCACAGATTCTTGATTGGATTTAAATCAGGAGAGCTTCTGGATCAGTCTATAGTAATTTGATTTGCTCACTAGTAAGGCTTGCCAGTGTGTTCATGCCATGTTACAATTTTTGTATGCTTCCTTGGAGTAATGTCCATTGCAAACAATGGCTGTAGGTCAACTAATCGGCAGTCGAGACAATAATTTCTGAGTGTGATAAAAATCTGATACATTCACGGATTATGCAATATTTTTCTTGGCCAAACAAATTACACCCCAAAAATAGATTCATATTACTGCACACAACTGAAAATGAGGTAATCTGAGGAAAAATAGAACTCAATTACCCCCCGTCAATCCAAAGGGTCTAAAACTGACTGTATAGTGAAAGAAAGGAAACTAAAGCAGTTGTTTCAATTAATTTGCACAAAAGTGTATTAGACATTTATATAACTGCTCAAGAGACATTCAGGGCCTATGAGAAGGGGATGTAAAAAGAGGATTGCTAATGAAGATGGGAAAGGGGAGCCAAAATAAACTTTGTAACTCCTAATAGAATTACTCTCAGTGACCCTGGAAATATTGTATTATATCAGAGAATTTTTGACAATACTAAAATTATATTTTTGACCATTTTTACCATTTTATTTCAGTTGTTTTTTATTACAATGCACAAATAAGAATGTTATTCCAGCACAAAAGTTGGCTCCTAAAAATTCTGATGCCTTAATTTAGAATTTTGTCTCTATTCACTGGAGAAGATGTCCACGAAAAAGATAGTATAATTTCCATTTGAAATCTGATGAGTTTTAACCAATAGAGACAAAAGCAAATTATGGAAAACAAGGATGTTCTGACATGTTCTGATTTTGATAGCTTTATGCAAGAATGATATTAATTATAGTAATAATTAAATGGTACTTCTTCACACACACCCATTCAAATGGAATATGGATCAAGGTTACGTTTACATATTTACACTTACCTTAATAGTAAGTCTGGTATGTCTGATAAAGTAAAACTAGTAGCTGATCTTGAAAATGACATCCAATCAGTTGTTAACTGGGGCAAGAAATGGCTTGCAAATTTTAACACCTCCAAAATGAAACTGCTATCTTTTAATCATCTTAGAGAACCATGTTTTCTTTTCATCAGTATGGCTGAGTTTAATCTCCAGAACAACTTATTGTTCCTTCTCGGTTTCACATCTTCCACTGACATGAAGAGGAATAATTATACTGAATTAATTGCCAGGTCTGCTGCTAGGAATGTTGGTTGAAGGAATCATGCCAGATAATTTCTCTTGTAAGAATATATCTTGCCCATTTATAAATCTACCGTTCATTCACGCATTGAATATTACTGTCACATCTGAGCAGGTACTGCTGCTATATATCTCAAGATTCTCAACAAAATCCAAATAAGGGTCTGTAATGTTATTGGTCCTAACCTGGCATCTCAGCTTCAGACACTTTCCTACCAATGTAACATGGCCTCTCTCTATCTTTTCTATAAATATTTTCATTGTAATTGTTCTGTTTCGGGTAATTGTTACTCCTTGATAAATCAACCACATGAATTTAAGCATAGTACTAGATTGGCTATCCTCCAGAAAAACTTATTTCAACCCTTTTCCACACAAAAACCAATGAGCTTGTGCAGAAAGGGGTTGAAAGTTTTGTAGTACACAAGGAACCTCTTCTCACCACTGTCAAACGGAGAAAAACGGTGTGGTTTGGACACATTACAAAGCTCAACAGCCTGTGCAAGACCATCATGCAAGGCACCATTGAAGGCGGATGTAGGAGAAGACGCCAACACAAAAACTGGTTGGACAATGTCAAAAAACAGACAGGTATGACTGTACTAGAATTGTTGATGGCTGCCGTTGATAGACCGTTGTAGAAAAGAGTTAGTGTGGCTTCTGCATTTGGATCCGCCCTACAAAAAGTCAAGGGGGTGATGATGATGACTAAATTGACAAATCAGTCCAATCTTTTTACTTTTGATATTGCTAAATATATCTGTAAGTTATATTCTAATAGTAAGAACCCTAGAGCACTTCTGACCAGTGGAATTTTCTTCCAGGTACAGAAATTTAAATGCAACATCAAGGACACATGGCATAGTGGATAAAGGCATTGGTTAGATCCAGTGACAGGACCCAAAGCGTATGAGTTCAATACCCAGTTAAGGCAGTGGGAACTTGGAGAGGAGAATTAACAGGAGATAAATGACAACTGACATCCATTAGACATGGCACGTAGAACTAGAACAGTCTACCCCAGTGAGTGAAATAAAGGATTCAGTTCGACATTCCAACGACCTGAAGAAGGCTGGAGCATACAACAGCTGAAACATAGTAATAAATATGGCAACAAAGATGAGGACAATAGTCTGAATAATGTAAATAGTGTATCAATTTCCTTAATAGCATTATCACCTTGCTTCTGATTTCTTGCTTTTCTGGCTACCTACAATCTTCAAAAATCTAAATGCAATGTCAATCACCATCTTTTGTCTTCCTGAAACCCACTCTTTTGTTGTCCTTTTTCCTCACTAAAGTCTTCTCATTTTCTTTCACTCTCAGTAATCCTTTAAGTCTTAGTGGCATTATCACCTTTCTTCCAGTTTCTTGCTTCCCTGTCCATTACAATCTTCAAAAGTCTATTGTGGTGCTCCCACTATCCCATTCATGTTCATGGCGGATGAAGTATTACTTCAGGACCTTTGCCTTTTCGTTGTTGCATCACCCTACTTTCTTCTATACAACATGGCATGCTTGTTTAGATTTTATAATCAACCACATTTTTCATTCTTGATTGATTACTGTACTTCCAGCGTTTGTGAACTTGCTCTCACCACAGCTCTGTGCTTCCGGCATTTGTGAACCTGCTCTCACCACAGCTCTGTGCTTCCGGCATTTGTGAACCTGCTCTCACCACAGCCCTGTAATTCTGACTACACATTGGTCACTACTTCTGGTGTTTTCTTTTTCAATCTAACTCACTTGGTTTTATAGGAAGTTGCAGGCCATTTATTGTACTGACATCAAATACCTATTGCTGCAAACCATTTGGTTAATTTCAGCAGATAGATTTTCATCTGAACTTCAGCCAGCAACTACTCAACACCAGCACTGGACATTACGAGCACATCATCGGTCTATTATTTATTGCCACTTCATTGCTTATTTATTCAACACCAATATTGGATATTTGAGATACTTCGGCCTATTACCAGCATTTACTCAAAGCTAGCACTTTGGCTTATTACCTATTTCTAGCCATGCATTGGTTTATCCTATGGCCAGATACTTTGGCCTGTTACCAGTATCTGCTCAATGCCACATCAAACTAACTTTTCGAACATTGGCTTTTTCTGCCAATTTAACTTTTCTGGACTCTACTTTTAACAATTAGTCACAGTTATATTATTTTTGTTCTACTATACTGGTCAGTATTCTTCCATTTACTTGATTCATTGTTTGTTCATGTTTGAGCTGTCATCTCTTTTTGGTTTGTTTAACCAAAACACTATTACTGTATATATTATATAAATAAATTTTGTATTAATTTTAGTGTACTCATTTTTGTTGTCCTCTTATTGACCGGTAAGTTTTATGTCATTTATTTTTAAATGTTTGCGGGCTTCCTGTGACTCATCTTAATTTGGGTGCACAGGCCATATCCTATATTATATCCCACCTCCAGGGGTTCCACAACAAGTCTAAATCCAATGACAGTCATCATCTCCGTCTTTTCTACAAATATTTTTGTGGCAATTATTCTAATGAGCTTTTTGCCTTAGTGCTTCAACCACATGAACTTAAGCATACTACCAGACTGGCAATTTGGTGTCACCATTTTACTGCTGAACTAGCTAGATGCAATCATATATTCTATTCTAATACTTTATTTTCTTGCACTTCATTCTCCTCACTAAAGTCTTCTCATTCTCTCTCACTCTCAGTAACCCTTTATCATAGTGGCATTATCGCCATGCTTCTGGTTTCTTCCTTCCATGACACCTACAATATTCAAAAGTCTAAACGTCTTCCAGAATCCAATTCTTTTATTGTGCTTTCTCCTCACTAAAGTCTTAAATCTTAATTCAAACAACCATATCTGGTCTGGTGCTCATACCATATATCTCAAAATTCAAAGAAGGGTCTGTATATCTGTCTATATTTCTGAGATGAGGTATTATGTACACTATTTACATTATTCGGACTATTGTCCTCATCTTTGTCACCATATTTAGTACATTTCAGCCCTTCAGTATCTTTCTATATTTCTGAGATGAGGTATTATGTACACTATTGTCCTCATCTTTGTCACCATATTTATTACAACATTTAAAGTCTTCTCATTCTCCCTCACTCTCAGTAACTCTTTACATCTTAGGGGCATTATTGCCTTGCTTCCCTGCCACCTACACTCTTCAAAAGTCTAAATGTCTTCTGGAATCCAATTCTTTTATTGTCCTTTCTCCTCATTGAAGTCTTCTCATTCTCTCTCACCCTCAGTAACCCTTTATGTCTTAGTGGCATTATTGCCTTGCTTTTAAATGATTAAAAAAAATTTAACATTAAGTTAGTTAACATAATTTGAACAGTAATGCCAACTATTGGAAGTTCTATAATAATAATTTGTGAGGTCTGTCAAGAAATGATTTGGTTTGTTAATAATATTAACAAAAAAAGAAAAAAGAAGAGGTCTTTCTTTAGTTCACTTTATAGTACTTCCTTTCTGATTTCCCACAAACTTATCCCACTTTCCCCTTGTACTTTTCAAAACAAAATTCTCTTTCAGGATTGTCATCAGCTGTTGTGTTATGTTCTCCTTAATCTCGTCCATGGTTTGAAATCTCCTTCCTTTAAATGGTAACAATCCAGTAGTCAAATCTGGTCTCAAATGGGTCTGACAGGACTCAGGTTTTGCCAAGAATCCCTTCACTCAGCATTGTGAATGTGATGGTCACAAGCTCACTCTCACTCAGTTGCAATTGCCAAATATTAAAGCCACACCTGGCTCTATGGGTGCCGGTTCTACCCTCTCTACTCACTCCTTTCTTCCCACTACTCTTTCCTCTCCTCACTTGTTTGAATGCTAGCTTTGACAGTAAGCCTCTAGCTACTGCAATTTGTTATATCAGATTCCTAAGACTGCTAGGTGGATGTGTTAAATAATAGTTTAGCAGATTATTATTTTTATGGGAAGTATATCTCAGTGCTGACTTCCAGAGGTTGACATTTGGAGTCAAATATGAACCATAGTAGGAAAGTCAATTTTGACTGTCTGAGCTAGCATGGGAAAGATAGATAGGAGAAAGGTTTCAGTGTGTTGCTTCTAACCATCAAGTGATGTAGACATGTTAACTTTCATGTCTGAAACGGCTCCCCAGTGGGGGGGGACCCCACTGGATAATTAGATAATGTACATGTCAACATGAGTAATAAAAATAATTAAGTTAAAATTCACTGTGTTTGAAGTCTTTTATTGTTGAACCAAAACAATTAGCTATCGCCAGCCGAGAGAAGACAAGATGAGACCATGCTCACCAGATGCAACAGATGCTAATTGCTTTCAGGTTGCATTTGCAAACATTTTTTGTAACAAAGGATTTGTTGTTCTGCAGATCCAGAGCTACTGGCAAGCTCCCAGTACAGCATAACATTAGATATACAGATATCCTGCAGGTAAGTGATAAGATCTAGCCAGTGCAAGAAGAGACAAACATTACTTTTAAATAACAAAGTAACAGTATGGAGTAAATAATCAGCTAAAAAGGAAAATGAGCAGCTGTTTGACTGTAGATTAAGCTAAGCCAAACTGTTAATCTTCTGGAGCCAAATTCTTAAAGGTGATATCCATGGGAACTCATTAAAAATTGTAAAAAAAAGTACAATAGATTTTAGTATTTATTAAAATCTAAATTCTGTGCAAGCATAAGATCACGCAGACATTCACCTTGCTTTTGGAAAAAAAAAATAGGACCACATGAGCTTCAAATTTGAATTTCTACATTAGTATTTATTAACCAATCAGTGACGTTCAAGCTTTCCAAAAGCAGAAGAACATTATTATTGTTTGCAAAAAAAATTAAAAGCTTACTGCCAGAAAATGATTAACACTCTTTTCCTTCAATATCTGTTTATATTTCTGAGATGAGGTATTGTAATTATTTACACTATTTACATTGTTCAGACTGTTGTCCTCATCTTTGTTGCCATATTCACTCCTTTAATATCTGTCTATATTTCTTAGATGAGGTATTGTAATTATTTACACTATTTACATTGTTCAGATACATTGCCCAATTGATAAAAGCATTGGTTGGATTCAGTGACAAAGAGTTGTGAGTTCAGTAGTGAACAAAATCTTGGAGAGTTGAGTTAAAGGAAGTTAACTGAGACATCCTGAAAAGCCATGGCACATGGAACTAGAACAATCTACCCCAGTTGATGAAATAAAGGGTTCAGTTCAAAATTCCAATCACATGAAGAAGGCCGGAGTGTACAATGGCCAAAACCTCATGAACATGGCAACAAAGATGAGGACAATGGTTCGAACTATGTAAATAGTGTAAATACTCTTTTCCTTCCTAACAATAGAAATTAAAAATTGGTAAAAGTTTTGTAAATCGAATTTTTAACTTCCTATGATCTAATTTTTTCTTATAAATAGCTTAATGTAAATTAATTAAACAGTTTTAATAAATTTTTGACCAGGTGTTGTAATTAATACTAAATACACAAATTTAAAAAAAAGTTAACTATCAGAGTACTAAGATCCTTTTTTTTAATCTTCCACATTTTTTAAATATTTTCATAAACCAGTTTGCACTTTTTACAATATGAGAAACATACAAGCATGATCTATAAAGGAATTGTAACAGTAGCAATAATACAGCAATTATTCAGCCAACTACTGGAATCACATCTCATCATACACATCATACTATAACATAATTCATGACTTTTGAACATGATGAATTAACGTATACCTTTTCAGCCTATACTAACACAATTCATTTTTTTTTGTTTTAAAAAGAAAAACAAAATATTTTTATACAGACTTTGCAAGCAACTGTATAACTTGTTTCTTTCAACTTAAAAGAAAACAAACATTATACCTATACTCAAAAAAAATTGCTTAAATTTGTAGAGCTGTATTTGAACATTATTTCTTTTCTTCAATTTTTACACACTTTTCCCTCTACATATTCATATCAGACATACTACCAGGATATTGGATATGAATTCAAAGAAAGGAAGAAAGAGAAACATTGGCAGAGAGAAACAAGATGACAGCAAAATCTTTATCAGCAGTAGCAGTAAGAATGAGAAGTGACAGGCAAAGGAAGTCAAGCATAACAGCAAGGCAGACAGGCAATAGGAACATTAGATTTAAGGCTGCCAGTTCTAAATTAAGAGCTGTCCCACAGGAAAATAGCCTAGTAGATTAAAGCACTGTTTCTTCAAATTAATTTGATTCACTGCATTCGCTCAGTCACTATACTGATCAGCTGCAAAACAAACATGTCTGCTTGGCTGTGCTGGTCAGCTATAAGGCAAATGCTCCCACTTGTCTTTGCCAATCAGTTGAAGAGCAAATGCACCTATTTGGCATTTTGCTGGCCAATTATGAGACAAATGCATCTGCTTGGTTTTACTCATCAACCACCAGCTATCTGCTCAGTTTTGCTAATTAACCTGAGTCAAAAAAAAAAAAGAAAAAAAGGATACTTAACCTTCTTACTCAGTCGGTACAATGAGACATTCTGTATTCCACCAAAAGCCTCCAAGGGATCACCATCAAGTTCCATTTTCCCAATGACAAAAGGTCCAATAAAATGCCACTCACTTACAGCCAGACTGCTTTTGGCAGAAAGTTTTGCAGCCTGCTTGAAACAAAAATTTGTTTGGCTGGCCAGGGACGGACTTTTTTGGCTGTAGATGTGACCCAACGATGACCATACGAAACCTTCTGTGGGGCTGGCTTCTAGGAATTTCAGGTGGCACAGGATGGTGTTATCACTCTGGAAAATAAAAACAGTTATTAAGTCACAAGTATAAAAGCCTAAGCAACAAGATATGATGGCAAAGTCCAGATTAATATCTTCCTAGAATTATTCTGTATGCCTGAGTAACATAATGGTTATTCATGCAGAAAATGGAATCAGTGAATTGAGTTCAATTTCTGGTCAAATCAGTTGCATCCACTTCACACTAACGCCCTTGGTATTGACATGAATTCATCTCTTTACATCCACCTCCCACCACAGCTATGAGTTTTAATATAATTCAACCGGGGTATGTAAATAAAACTGCATACTCAAATTATTCATTATCAAGTTCCTTCTTGCAAATTATTTCTCGTTTTTAAAGTATAGTCATAAACCAGTTTGCACAGTTTACCTTATGAAAGATACCCAAGTGAGATATATAAACAAAGCGTAATTGTAGCAGCAGTATAAATATTATCAGCTAAAAGCTTTCCTGGATTTGTTTGCAGGGAACTTTATACTCAATAATTATAAAAATTTGTAAAACTGCATTTGAACATTATTTTTTTCTTTGCTTTTCACACAGTATATGTTGGTCATTAGTACAAGTATTTATACAAAGTTGTGCATTGTTATACATTACCGTAATTTATAGTTTTGTAATACTTGCATCCCTGAAGATGATCTTGGAAGAAGATCAAAAGTACTTGGGAAATAAAAATAAAAGAAATTTGAACAGCTATAGCAGATTTCTCTCATCCTTTAACATCAATACATGGAAGGTTATTCGTGAGTATGAACGGATTTTGTTAAAAATTAGCAAACATAAAATCTGTAATTTATTCAATCAGACATGCCTAAAAGAGAATTTGCTGCCTAAATACACAAATATATATATAAATATATATATATATATATATATATAATATATATATATATATATATATATAAACCATTAACAGGCTCAAAGTATGAAAAATAGAGAAACACATACTCTCAAAGCAACTTCTGTCAAGGAAAGCAACTGAAATTTATATGGGAACAACAAAGATGTATTTCCTACCCACAGCAGTGATGCAGCATTAAAATAACATGCCCTAGGTTCTGTTAACAGTTTTTCACATTGTTAACAATGATAAAACAGTCCTGAATACATCACAGGATAATGTTTATTGTTTAGCTAACATAACAATTGCTTAAATACATATATCATAGCTTAAGTTACTCAAAATCAAAAAGGTTCTTCAACTGTGAGTAGTGTCTCGATATTAAGACTATTTTTATTTCAATACAGCCTATACAGGTTTATACAGCAGGCCCAAAAGTGCCACATCCATAAAAGTGCCATACCCAGGACAGACCATCCCTATCAGCCTCTAGCTATGCTACTGGGACAGATAGAACTCCCTAGCTTTGATTGACAACCCCTCTAAGAGAAAGATAACACTGGTTGGGTGTGGAGTTAGCAACTCCACCTTTGTAAAACTTACTTGCTATGGTAACCACAATAGCAACACCTGGTGGGGAGTTTCTTTTACCCTATGTTTTACTGGTACTCTACATGGTTAACAACAATGTTAATTTAACCCTTTGTACAGGTTGTAATGTTTTACATGCAGACTATTGTCCTCATCTTTGTTGCTGTTATCACATTTCAGTCATTGTGTTCTCCAACCTTCTTCAGGTGTATGTCAAGCCAGGTAACCTTAAGGAAATCCTGAACTGAACCCTTTATTTAATCTATGGGGATAGAGTGTTCTCAGTCCACTGCCCATGTCTAGGGTTATCTTATTTTTAGTACTAAATATAAAATATAGTACATTTTAGTACTAAAAATAAAATATGGTACATTTTAGTACTAAAAATAAAATATAGTATATTTAGTACTATATTTCATTTTTAGTACTGTTCAGTACTGTTTCCACTGAGTCAAAGTAAATATACCACGGCCCAGGGATTTAAAACAATTCATAGACAATAATAAAGACAAAGGAAACTGTCAAATAATCACGTGGTGAAGATAAACACTCAGTTGTGGAGCAAGCTGAGTAAAGAACTAATTCATCATAGAGACGGAGCTATTTATGGTGCAATGGAGCATCTCATTATGCTAAAGTGGGATAGTCCATTGCTTGGGCTATGATTGGCTGCTGGTACCTGAGTGAAGTATTACTATATAAATACTAGCATGATTTCTCAGTTTGCAGGATATGTATTAAGTTACAACCTGCTTTATTTTTTTGTCTGCCAGCTGGACGCTTAGTTGGAACTCTTACGGCGGTAAGTGCTTTATTATTATTGTTATTCTACATCTTCTTCCCCCATCGCGTGTGGGTAGTGGCCTTTGGGGAGGGATGAGTTCCTTTAAACCTGGCTGGTTGTGGGGAAGTAGTCTGGACAATGCCCGAGGGTTTTTTGTCCGTGTTATTGTAGACGGCTGAGCAGTGTTTGATGTTATTCAGCGTCGACTGTTTGTTGCACTGGTGTAGGGGTCTCAGGTATTGCACTAGGTCTTGGAACTGGAATTGTTGGTGTATCCAGTTTCCTGAGAAATGCGATTTCGTAAGGTAATTCTACCTGATCCGTCAACTCTGATACGGTATTGGTGGTTGGGGAGGGTTTCAATGACCTGACCTGTTGTGTCCCATCGACGGGTTGTTGGTCTTTTTAGTGCCACTATTTGTCCTTTTTGAAGGGGGTTTAAAGTGTGTGCTGTTCTGTTGTATCGCTCTATGAGACGATGTTCCGCCCGGGACAAACTTATCTCACGATTTTGTGCTGCGGTTATCCAATTCAAGGCGGTGGCTTATAGAGTGTTGGGTGGGATGGTATGTAGTCACGCAGTCGGCGGTGGAGTAGTAGTTGAGCGGGGGATAGCCCAATGTTTTGAATGGGCGTATTCCTGTATTGGAGGATGGCTCTTGCTGCACGGTTATTATCCAATGATCCTTGGGCTCCTGTGTTGCCATTTACGATTCTCTTGGCTGTTTTGACAAGCGAGCTCTGCTCGACCATTGGATTTGGGTAACCAGCAGATGATAACCTTTGTTTAACAGCCCAGTCTTGCAAAATTGCTTGAATGGAAGAGATGTGAAGGTGGCCCACCATCACTGCTGAGTTCCTCAGAGGCGCCGTGAGGTTTGAAATATGTCTCGGCAAATCGAAATAATCCTTGAGGCATTAGCTTCTCCGTGGCTCAAGTGGTATAGATTCAGCCATCCCGTTAACCTGTCAGCGCATAACTAAGTAACCATGGTTTCCGACATGGAAGATGTCCATGACGATTTGCTGAAATGGCCAATCAGGAGATGGTGTCAAATTGATTGGCTCTTTTGGTTGACTCGGGGCAATTTTTGAGCAGAACGTACAACCTGCTCTAATATTACGAATTGAAGCATTCATCCGGGCCAATAAACAGATTCAAACGTGCCTTCATGCCAACTTCGCCTTGATGTGCAGAATGTAGGCTATGTAATAAGAGGTGGGGATAACAATTCTTTGATCTAAGAGCATAACCCGTCGTCAACACTTAGGCGGTGCCTCACTTCCCAATATTCGCGGATTTCAGGTGCACGTTCTTTGGAATCCGTTTTGTATTACTTCTATTAATTTTTTTTGTATTATGGTATTCGTCCCGGCCGTCGGATAACGCGTCTGCTGAGATGAGCTCCAGGTTGTCATTTGCAACCTAATGTTGCTAATAAGGTTTTGATTTGACCCAGTCATCCATGTTGTCAGACTCTATGATGTCTGATTGAGAGGGTTCAGCAGTGAATACATTTAGGAGTGCCTGTGAGATGTCTGCTGGGTTGCTTAGAGACAGCATCGGAGGCTCTGTGCCATTCCCAGGGCAGTGCTGAATGGTGAATCTGTACCTGAGGGTTTTCTCCTTTAACCTGAATAATCGGGGTTTTGATTTTACTAAGGTCTCTATCTCCGAATAATCCTTTTTAGTGGTTCATGATCTGTAACCACTATGAGATTCGGGCAACCCATTACAAAAAAATCCGACATTTTTCCAATGCCCATGCAATTGCTGCTGCTTCGCCTTCAATAGGTGCATATCTGCGTTCAGCATCAATGCAGAATCTGCTACCAGCAAATATCAGGCGCCAACCTTCAGGGCAGCAAACTGGGGCTTTGTCAGTGGTGCATGAGCAATACTTCTGCAGAAGTAGGAAGCCCATTCCGTCTTTGCTCCAATCTGGGGCAAGGCAGGTTATTCTTTCTTTTTGAAATGTTCGATGCCTTTTCGGACTAAGTCAACTATGACCTTCTTTGACTGCTGGAATGCATCTTCCAGGCTTTTATTCCATGTAAAGTGTGAGTCGTTTTAAGATCAAAATGGAAGCAAAGTGAATATGCCCAAGCGACTTGGTTGACCAGCCCAAACCATGATCTGGCATCGGTGAGTGTTTTTGGTATTGGGAAGCTCAATATTGCCTCCAGCATGGATTTAGAAGATGTTATTTGGAGGCCCCCAAACTGTGTCTTGGCTAAAAATTGGAATTTTCTCTATTTATCTGATGCCGTTTTTTGCACAATGGAGGAGAAAATCGAAGGTGTGAAAAAGGCCTTCGATGTCAGAGTCATAGAGTAGGTGTCATCCACGATTTTTACTTTTATGGGGATGTCTTTTATTACTTCATCATATCTTCGGGTGTAGGCATCGCCAGATGCTAGGTAACCTTGTGGCATTCTCAGGTACATGAACCTTCCCCATTCTGTGATGAAGGTGGTGAGTGGCTGGGACTCTTTATCTAAGGGGATGGAATGATATCCATCAACAGCATCCAACACCGTTTTCTTTTTGTTTAGGTGGCACTTGTAGTGCTAGCTGGAATGGTGAATGGTGTGTTTCCCGTTTGCACTGTGAATTCAGGTGTTGGTAGTCTATGGTTCTTCGTGGTTTGCCATTTTTTTTTTTGCGGTAATTACCATAGTGCTACACCAATCAGCGGCATGCCAACGGGTACTGGGTTTTAATACCCCTTTTCACATCTTCCCAAAGGGCCTGTCTTACGGGCTCTTTTGAAGTGAAAAAAGGCACAGGAATTGGGTTATGTCTGGCTTTGGGGACTGCTCCTTCTTTGAGGTGTATATGATGCAGGGGGGCCAGACACGGTGGGAATTCACCATTGTTCTTGAACGCCGTTCGCAAATTGATTTAATAGCCAATTCTTGAGCTTATCAATGTTTTGTTCTGTTGAAGAAAAGGAGTTTTTGGGGCGTGTTGAAGTTGTCCCTCGACTTTGCATTGTTTAGGGCTCACGTCCGATTTTTTTATGTGTGCTTGTCGAGGGCATGTGTTGCATTGTTGTTTGGGGTATATTGTAGTTGTTGGCTTCGGGAAGTCTTTGGACAGTATCCCTACATCAATGCAGGCTGCTTTTGTTGAAGTATAGCCGCTGAATCTTTTTGCATATGTATAGGGCTTGTTTAGTTGTTCTTCCTGACGATGAATTCCACGGGGAGCCAACCCTGACAAGTAAAGCCTCCCACAGCTCGGACGACTTTTTCTTGATGGAATGAGGTTGTCGATAGTGAGCCCCATATTCAGAAGGTGCTTAAGTCCCCGAGACATATGGTGGCCCCACTGTCAGGGAAGATTGTCATCCTAGTGCTGTGATTTCTGGGGATATTCTTAATTTGTCTGGGATCCGGTTTTGGCGAAAATGGAACAACATATGCATCAATTTCTCTTATCTGGCCTGTGTCTTTAGACGTATCGTGCCTGTCGTTTGATTGAATGTGATGTGGGCGATAAGTGTGTCCATATTTTTCATTAGCCTCTAGGCTTTTTCCTGACCGCTTGAGCTGGTTTCTTAGCCCGGCATACCCTCGATAGGTGATTGGGCTTCCCAATTATTACATGTTTGTCCCCATGCTGGGCATTTTAGCCGGCGTGATTCAGTTCCTGAATGCTGGTGGCTGCCACAACCTAAGCAAGCCTGATGGTTTAGTTTAACATTGCAGTTTGCAATAGGTGCTGGTACGGATCGCCTCGTTGGCTTGTGGTGTACCCTTCTGTCTGCGGTATGTTGATAGCCGAGCAGCAGCTGTATCTGAAGCACTGGCCATTGAGGTTTGGTCCCCGCAATGCTGATTCAAATGCCTCAGCATGACGGATATTTTGTTCAAGGGATTTAAGTGCCCTAGCTTTGGCCAGTAGGTCAGCCTGGAGTGTGTCATTTGCTATTCCACGGATGATCTGGTCCTTGATGTATATATCAGACAGGTCATGTTCACACGAGGGGCAGGTAAAGTTACAATCAACGGCTACGGCTCTGAGGCGGACAAGGTAACTTTGTATTGGCTCATCAGCATCCTGAGACATGGAGGCAAAAAGCAAAGGCGATGGACAATAGGACTTGACCTCTGGGTGACCAACACTTCTACCATGTCAAGTAGATTATCTGGATCAGTGGTAAAGAAGTCAGGGTGTGTATTGATTATGGCATTTTGCACAGCCTCATCAGCACAATTGTATAGGTGAATATTAGCTTGGGAGTTTGGCATATTTGTCATCTTGGTAAAGACATCCCAGTCAATTGGAACTTCCCTGTGGTGTCATCTCGAGATTGAGATGAGGAGGCTTGGCTGCTAGTGCCTGAATCTTGGGTTGTCTGGGTGGTGGATTCCTTAGCCTGCTTAATGATACACAGGGCCTCTCCCATTAATGTGACTCCCAGCTCCTTAACATAGATCGATCCAGCATTTGAAGGCTCGATTGTCAGCTTCTCGTCCGCAAACCTTGTTGCATGAGTTTTGGCCGAGTCGGTGGATATGCCTGCTTCAATGAAGAAGAGTTCCCAATTTTCAGGTGTCATAAATCCTGTTCACAGCGCCATGTCAAATAATCACGTGGTGAAGATAAACACTCAGTTGTGGAGCAAGCTGAGTAAAGAACTAATTCATCATAGAGACGGAGCTATTTATGGTGCAATGGAGCATCTCATTATGCTAAAGTGGGATAGTCCATTGCTTGGGCTATGATTGGCTGCTGGTACCTGAGTGGAAGTATTACTATATAAATACTAGCATGATTTCTCAGTTTGCAGGATATGTATTAAGTTACAACCTGCTTTATTTTTGTCTGCCAGCTGGACGCTAGTTGGAACTCTTACGCCGGTAAGTGCTTTATTATTATTGTTATTCTACAGAAACAATGATTGTTCCCAAGTGGCTGCTTACTGAAATGATCAATCATACTTTTATGAACAATAAAAAGAAGAAAAAACATACAGCTCAATAGTAAGTAGCAAGATTAAAACCAGAAGCTTACCTGAGGTTCTAAAAGTCGAAAGTTGGTGATTGCCTTCAGAGTGGGGGAATTTAAGTTACAGCTGGAGGCTTTCTTGTTATGGATCCGTGTCCTTTCATTTTCAATAAACTCTAAAATTTTCTGCAATATGGACAAAACAAAACATTTACAAGAGCTGTAAGAATTACAACATAAACAGTAAAGAAAAGCAAACACACCGGCACTGGATTGTTCAAAGTTACAAAGAAAGAAAAAATATGTGTAAAGATCAAATCTAAAGTATAATTAATCCTTAAATATCTGAGAGACCTCTTTCTGCAATATTCTAAGCATGGCTGATGCAAACCTTCAGGAGAGTGACTTGTTGCACCTTCTCGGGCTAACATTCTTAGCTGATATGAAGTGGAAAGATTATATTGAATCAACTGCTAAATCAGCTACTAAGAAAGTTGGTTCATTGAGCCATGCTAGACAATTTTTCTCTCCAGATCCTTGTTACATATTTATAAGTCTACCATTCATCCATATTTTGAATATTGTTGCTACATATGGCCCGTGCTTCTACAATATATTTAGAGATTCTTGATGAAATCCAAAGAAGAATCAGCAATATTATTGGTCCTGATCTAGCATATCAGCTTCAATCACCTTCCCACCACCATAATATAGCTTCTTTGCACCTTTTCTATAAATACTTGCATGGTAACTGTTTCGATGAACTCTCTGCTATGATACCTGGACTCTAGGAATTTAAGTGAAGTCCTAGATTGGTGGTAAGGTCTCATTGTTTTACAATTGAACTGGCTATATGTAACTGTAAGTTCTATGCTAACACTTCTTGCTTGTGGAACTCTCTTCCAGCTCCATGCTTTCCAGCCAAATTTGATCTTCAAAAATTTAAATGCAATGTCAATCATTATCTACTGTCTTCTTGATTAGTCTTCTATTATTCTCATTTCTTAATAATGTTTCTCTTTTTTTCTTATTCGTTCACATTCAGTAACTCCTTGTGTCTTAGTGGCTTTGCTACTTTGCATGGGGTGAAATGATTAAAAAAAATCTAACTTGAAGGCTTGCCTTAGTCACAGACATGTAACTGTTGATGCCATCAGAGAAATGCTTTACGCTGACAGTCGACTTCCGTCTAGGAAGCCTTCCACCCAACAATTCCAAGTTATCACACTGGCTGCATACATAACTATGAAACCCTGTGATCGACAACTGTTAACCTAACAAGAAGGTTCCTCCCCCGCTTCAACAGGTTTTGCTATTACTCTTGCTGAATGTTTAACCATCTTTGTTCACAAGAAAAGCCTTGGGAGCAAACTGATTTAGTCATTGATGACCCAACCATGTGGCAGGTAATACTGAGTTACATGGTATCAGTAATACAAACTGATCTGACATGAAACAATTAAATATAGGGAGTATATATTAAAGGGTGCAAAATGAGGTGAAACATCACAAGGCTGGAGCAGCCAAACTCAATTCGATTGTTGAGGGGATTGGTTGGATAGTGGAAGCATTGGCATTTTCTGAAACATAAGAGTAAGATTGAATATAAAAAAAATTACATACAATTAACAAGAAAATATTTTTCAGTCTATCCTCATAATCTTCACTTCCTATCGCCTTCCCGATGTGCCATGTGTGATACATGCTTAGGCGATCATGTATCTTTCGATACATGACTGATGAAGTAGATTTTTTCCTGCAGTAGGTTACCATTTCTTTCTGCAGTAGACCAGTTGCTATCCAAGGCTATAGAACCCGGTCTGTCCTGCTATTTACTCATAGCGGGGCAGAGAGAAGAAGAGGATTCATACCTTTCCCAAGGGTATTAGCACATGAGTGAATGTAATGGATTCAAGTGGAATTTGAACTTGGCTCTCCAATTCCTCAATCTGAGCTACTATCCATTACTCCAGTGTTTCCTTACAGTAATGGATTCGACTGCAATTTGAATTCAGCACTGATTCCTCAATCTGAGCTGCTATCCATTACTCCACTGTGTCTCCATTCATATCTCACACCTCATTCAATTTTAACAGTAACCCTCTACTTTAACTGCCTCTCAAGCCTTGTATTGGGTGAATATTAATATTAAAAATATTACCTGAAGAAAACTAAGTGGAAAGAACACAAAAATAAGTGAATAAGGTTTGTATATAGAAATGTCCTTTTTTCATATGTACATATGTGTGACATTGTTATGAAAGAATTTGAGAGATTTACATTTCAGAATTCTTTGGTAGAATTATTAGATACACCTTTCTGTAGTCAAATAAGCTTTGGTATTATATTCTGCATACTATTTTGTGTTTAGTTCAATATGACATGATGTTCTCTGAAAACCAAAGAGTACCCTAGACAAAGAGAAAAGAGATTTTCACACCCTTTTCTTATATACTGATTTGGCAACACCATCTGGTGGTTATTAGAAGTTCTTTGGAAGATATATGGGTTAATCAAAAACTGTCATAGTCGTCTATCGCTAGTCATTGTTCCACTATTAGCTGTCTAATCAGTATTTACTAAAATTACAACCTTGTGCAAATTAATTGAAAAAACTGCTTTAGTTTCCTTTCTTTCACCATATGGCTAGTTTTAAAGCCACTGAACTGACAGGGTGTAATCGATTTCTATTTTTTTTTTAAGATTAAGTCATTTGCAGTGGTGCACAGTAATATGAATCTCTTTTTGGGGTTTATGATGAAATTTGTTTGACCTTGAAAAATATCCTGTCATCCGTGATTGCATCAGATTTTTATCATGCCACTATTGTCTTGACTGTTGATTAGTTGTCCTATGGCCAATTTCTGTGACGGATGTTACTCCAAGGAAGCATACGAAAATTTGTAATGTTGCACAAACACACTGGTAAGCTTTACCAGTGAGAAAAATCAAAGTACTATGGACTGGCCCAGAAACTCTCCTGATTTAAATCCAATGAAGAATCTGTGGTCAATCTGCAAGGAAAGACTTTGTGGAATGGACATCCGAAATACTAACATGTGCACTGGGTCATGTTTCATTGGAAAAATATGAAAAAAAGTAAATAACGGAATTGTTTCAATTAATTTGCACAAGGGTATAGTTTACTCTGTGTTGTGTAGAAAGAAAACAGACCATCTCTAAACTAATTGCTGAACATGGACTTGTCAATCCGCTATGAGTAGAATGTCTGCACATAGATATAGTCGTCGCAAAGTAGGTTACAAGTTGTAATATTCGAGTCATATGCATTGCAGCACTGGACTACAGTATTCTCTATTTATTAATCTATATCTCTCATGTGATTAAACCTGTTCTTCACTCAACCATTTTGTAATGACAAAAGTATGCAGGTGTAGGCTTTAAGAAAGTTTTATTCAGCTGAGAATACAAGGTTCGTGTATAGGGTCCTTTTAGTCCCAGTAAACAGAAATAGCTCTCTCAAAAGAAGAGTAACAAAACAAAAGGGAGACCACTCTTGATTATTCATAACACTTTTATTCCAGGGTTTCCTTACAGTATCATTAACCAGAACTATGAGCCTTATACAAGTTTTATTGCCCTTGGACACAAGGCCAATAATATGTGGTATCCCATGAATTTCAAAGTCATTATGGCATAAGTATTTTTTTAAGAGTAGCATCATTTTGGACAAGGCCAAAGTATAGGGTAACCAGTAAGGATCATACTCAATCTCAAAGTAGTGGTCTACAAAAATTAGCTTTGCTATGTATGTCAGTATTCACTAAAGTTATTATAGTCTGGCACAAGGTCATATATATGGGGCAAATTCACTTCAGTAGTAATGGTCTAAGAGACTTGTTGGAAGTGGAGATGAATAATCATTCTTAAAATTCTTCAATTATCTGTCCCACAATATTTACGCAATAAAATGAAATTACCATTAAAGTCAAAGTAGTCAGTCCATCAGTTAAGTACTATACGTGATATACGCTTGGCTGATCATGTCTCCTATGATTCTACAAACCTACAAACTCAATTCTCTGATTTCTCATTTCATGACGATATCCATTACATCACACCTCACATCCAAAGACAAGGTAAAGTGTTCTAAAAGTAATCATTATCTGTCATTTCACAAAACTAAAAAACAAAAAAAATATGAGAAATACAGACAAGGGGCCAACTAAATACCAGTTTTAGTGAATAAAGAAAATTTTTTTGCTCTTAAAACAACAGTTGTCATCTAGAAATATTAGGTTAAATCATAAATAACTTCCATTCTTGGGAACCAATTGTAATGATGAATATATCATCTTAACTACTAACTATATGTGGCTGTTAAATGGAGTACACTGATAGATAGATAGATAGATAGATAGATAGATAGATAGATAGATAGATAGGTAGGAATAGACTGAGATAGATAGATAAATATATATATATCATGTCAGCTGTCAATATACCTCATAACACCCTTGAGCGCTTAGCCTTGGAGCGGGTAGAATGGAGATCAACGTGTTTTAGTGGACTCAGCAGTTTTCAATCAGGTTGTCTGAATCATCTTCAAGAAGCCATAGCAAGATCTAAAAGGTCGGCCAATCTAACAGTGATCTCATCCCACAATCCTTACTCTTGCACCATATGCACCCTCCTTCATAATTCACTAGGGGGTCTTAAGTGCCACTTAAGATTATCGCACAAAATTTCATAACTGAATCAATTAAGTTGTCAGATCCTCATACGTTGAAACTGACGGGAGAGTACATTATATATATATACATATATATATTAGAAATTAAGGAGGATTTGAGATAATTAAGTAATTCGTTGAGTAAAAAAAAAACCTCAACAGAATGCATTTCATTCTGTTGAGGTTTCTTCTAGACTAATTTGTAGAAAAGTCAGAGGAAAGCCATGTCACATTGGTGAGAAAGTGACTAAAGTCAAGATGCCTGGTCAGGATTGATTACATTACAAACCCTTGTTTGGATTTTGTCAAGAATCTTGAGATGAAGAGCAGGAGCACCAGACTAGATATGGCAAAAGTATTCAATGTGTGGATGAATCGTAGATTAAGAAACAAGCAAGATGGATTCTGACGAGAAAAATTTTCTGGCACAACACAGTAAACCAACTTTCCTTGCAGTAGACGTAGCAATTGATTTGATATAGTTGCTCCACTTCATGTCAGTGGAAAATGTTAGGTCAAGAAGGTGTAGTGTGTTGATCTCCTGGAGTTTAGCATTAGCCATCCTGATGGTAGACAGAAAAGATTCTCTGGTGATTACTATTAAGACAGGAGTAAATAGTTGTATCATTAGCATAAATACCAAATCGAGAACTGATGACTTACAACTAAAGATGAAAAAATATTGGGATTACCTTAAAAGACACAAAAGGGTGTCAATATCCTGAAATCACAGTCATAGATTTTGCAGATAATCTAACTCATGTACGTAACACTCTTAGAGCGTGGCTATTTTTTCACAGATTAGAATCAGATACAACACAAATTGGACTCCATACATGTAAACATACAATGTGACACTCAGCCAAGTTTTCCATCGACTAGCCAATGATTTTTTTTTAAGCATTTCACCCCAAGCAAGGTGGAAATGCCACTAGCATGCAAGGGGTTACAGAGAGTGAGAGTAAAGAGGGTTGTTTGAGGAAAGGATGAAGAGAAGGATGGGGTTCAGGATCAAGGGATCAGAGATATCGATTGACATTACATTTCAATATTTGAAGATTATAGCTATCAGAGAAGCAAGTAAGAGGAAGGGAGTTCCACTGTCAGGAAGTGCATGTGAAGCTGTTGAAGTAGAAGAGGCAGTTTCGACAGTGAAAGGGCGGGACTAAGATTCCAATCTAGTAGCATGCTTAAATTCATGTAGTTAGGGTACCAGTGAATAGCAAGTCAGAGCAGATGCCATGAAAATATTTGTAGAAAAGACAGAGGGAAGCCACATCTCCTACCTTTGTCTTAAACATTTTTTTAATATTATTTTATACCAGATCATTTAATCTGTTATATGAACATTGCCTTTTCATGACAATACATTCAAACAATGGACTTTAAGAATACTGATTTATTATCTTGAAATAGGCTACCGACACTACTTCAAATTTGGGAATAAATTCTATATCTTGTTTTGTTAAAATTGCCTGTGTTTCCTTGTCATTATCATCCTTTATTAATCTTCTTGACATGGGTAAATTAACTGTTCATTTTAATCCCTAATCCCCATGCGATTATAACCTTGCTATCAGAAATGAATACCATGTGGATGTCAAAAACAAACAGAAGCCTGAATGCATGTGGAATGAGAAGCCAGCGTCAAATGCAAAATAAAGAACAGAACTGTCCAACAAACAGAATTAACAAAGTTTGTGATAAAAAGAAAAAGGAACAGGGCAAAAATGAAGGAATATCAAGCAAGCAAGCAAACAATACATGCAAGGCCAATTAACAGGTAAGAAGGAAAAAAGTTCACAAACTAAGAATTGGTGTTGACATACAAAAGCAAGTTCAGACAAACAAACATAGCGGTCTATCTTTTAGACAAGACAGATCAGTACTGAAACATGTTAAACTGTAAACTGGCTTATTTTATTGGCTAAGAAAAATATCCCAGCATGCATTTGTGAACTTCTACCTATGAAAGGGGAGAGCAAGTGTTTTACAGTCATTCCCAGTACAGACTGAAACCACATATTCCCAGTAAAAAAAAATATTTGGGAATTTATCAAAGATTATCAAAGATTATGGACACATACATTATTTACATTATTCAAACTGTTATTCTCATCTTCATTGCCATATTCACAACATTTCGGCCATTGTATGCTTCAGACTTTATGTCTATGTCTCTCTATATCTCTGTCTATATATCGGAGATGAAGTATTTTGATCACTTGTATTATTTACATTATTCGGACTGTTATCCTCATCTTCAATGCCATATTCACAATGTTTTGGCCGTTGTACGCTTTGGCCTTTATGTCTATGTCTCTCTATATATATCTGTCTATATCTCTGAGATAAGGTATTATAATTACTTGCATTATTTACATTATTCAGACTTCTATCCTCATCTTCATTGCTATATTCACAACGTTTTGGCTGTTGTACACTCCAGCCTTCTTCAAGTGATTGGAATTTCGAACCGAACAGTTTATTTCGTCCACCGGGGTAGATTGTTATGAAACGTTGTGAATATGGCAATGAAGATGAGGATAACAGTCCAAATAATGAAAGTAATGATAATACCTCATCTCAGAGATATAGACAGATATTATGGACACAGTCTGTGAAAGGTAAAGGTGGTTTAGTGGCCATTGCTACAGAAATAAACAAAGGATCCAAATTATTCTTAAAAATCAAGAAGTAGATCAGCCAGAATGTTCATTAATCAACTTGTAGACAAAACTAGAATCAGAAAAAAAGAATTGGGTAGCACTATTGATGAAAGAAATGTCTAGAATTAATTGATTTGGTGGGTGATTTTGTTTAGTGTATCAACACATCTATGGGTTATTTAATGCTGAAATCTAAATATATTGTACATAATTTTATACTTTATACTCTGGGTAAAGCTACATGTTTTAGATATATTGTTTGTAGGAGGAAGCACGGTGGAGTAATGGATAGTGGCTCGGATTGAGGAACTGGTGAGCCAAGTTCGATTCCAGTCAAATCCGTTACATTCACTTATGTGTTAATACTCTTGGGAAAGGTATGAATCCTCTTCTTCTCCCACCAGCTATGGGTAAATAGCAGGACAGACCTTTGATGGCAACTGGTCTACTGCAAAAAGAAATGGCAACCTACTGCAGAAAAAACTGCCTCGTTAGTCATGTATACATGATCGCATGGCATATAAGTGACTGAGTTTGTAGATTATAAAATGAAATCATTGGTTATTTAATATAAAAATGTACTGTTGATTTTTGCTTGAGGGTTGTTGTGTTCTCTTATAAGAAAAATATATGTTTTACAATTACATTGATTTTTTTGATTTTTTTATTATAATTGCAAATCTTTTTCCCTTGTTTATTAGATTCAAAACTTCCAGTTTAAAAATAAATTCCAATCAGATTTATGGTGAGACAAGTAGATAAATTCAAAATGTTGATCCCTCGTATGTACAAATTTTAATTTTCATTCTAAAGTCAATAAATCGATCAATAGGCCATACGTAATGTAAAAAAAAAAAAAAAAATCTAAACTATAGTTCAAGGGCAGATAACTGCAACACTTAAAAAATCACTGAATGTCAGCATTGAATTTAAATTGAAACAAAACCTCTGATTTTCCGAAATAGACAGAGTAGATTTTACAAGTCAACAAATAAAGTGATCACAAAGAATGTATGGTGAGAGGGAAAGGAGTAAGCCTGCTGAAAAACTGAACTATATGATAAAAATAAAACCTTCGGCTAAACGAAAGTGAAACTAAAAATGTTTTTCTTTGATTACATTTTTGAAGTAACTAAACTTTTAATCTCCGAAAGCAAGTTTTTTTTTTAAAAAAAACAAAACAGTTTTATTCAACTATATCACCAGATTGCTACTAAAACAAGCATTTTTTAACCACACACTCGTTAGAGGTTGCAGGAAAATAATTTTAAAATCTCCATTGTAAACTTTGAAAATCGGTAAAGAAAGGGGACGAAAGGATAAAAATTTGAAACGAATTCTTTTTTGAGCGGGATCATTCATTAATTATTCATTACAATCGTGAAAATTGAACAGTTAACACATTTATTACCTTAAAATTATTCAAAATGGTTTTTAAAAGTATTTATTCTAGTTAGTTGTTTTTTATTTTTTAACTGAAAAAAAAATTTATTCGGTCACCCGGCAACATAAAATATAAATTAATTTGACTTTTTATTTTTCTCTCTAAATAATATTACAAAATTAATGTTTTGTTTACTTTACATTCACAAAATTTCAAATCTATTTTCTTTTCTTTTTTTAATACAAGTTCTTAAAATTGCTCAATATTTTCGCCGCTTCTAGTTGATGGCAGGAGGTAAAAAGGAGGAGGATAATTTCATAAATCAAAATGATTTTTTAAATATTTTCATATCTGAAATAAATAAAGCTAATTGCGTGGATAAAAATAATAAATGCAGAGAAAACTAAATATTTTTAAATTAAAAAAAAATAAAAATTAATAAAGTCATTTAAAATTTTTTTTCAAATATAAAAAAATTAGACGAATTTAAACAAATAAGATCAGTAAAAAAAAAAAAAAAATGAAAAGATAAAAGTCTTTAAAAAAATTTTCACAAAAAAACTGGACCAAATTGTTAAAAATAAATTTAAAATCCATAAAAAATATTGATCACAGTGTGTCAGTGTATTGTCGTAACACTACTACACACATTAATTATTATATATAATATTTTAATTTGGGCAGAAAATTCAACTCACCGCTGTTTCTTTTTTCTTATTCTTTGATGCATTTGTGCAAAGAAAAGCTAAGCAAGAAAACAAAATTAACCATAAAACAGATTTCTTGTTCGCCATCGCGATAGGAAAGATCCAGGGTTAGTTGTTTACGTACATGATGATATACGGTGTTACAATTAACACGTCCCCATTGATTAAAAGAGCCGCCTTATTTAAATCAACCCGAAGAATTGTTGCTCAATGAATACAGCTTGGAACATTCTATCCGAGCAATATTATTATCATTTTATCGAGAATAATTTTATTTAAAAATCAAGAACTGAAAGGTTTCCTTCAGGGCCTTAGCAGCCGGAAAGTGGTGGTGGGGTTCTTGCCCCCCCACACCAATTTGTTACTAATTGTAGTATTTTTTACAGGGTTTTATTTTAACAAAATACAATAAAGAAAATACTGTCAAAACAAGGAGGTACTGTAAATTTTAAATGTTCTTGCTGTTAACCATGTAGGCAGCCTTTGATATCTTAAAGAAAAAACAATCATTTTCTCTGCAACAGTCCTGTGTTGCAGTCAGTTTAATTTGTTAGATTCTAAAAAGGTTATTCAAGTTAGAATTCCCAATTCATATTAAGTTTAAAAACTGCAATAAAATGAAATAAAATCCATAAATAGAATGATAATAAAAACAATAAAAAAGAAAAGGAAATACATTCTTCTTTAGTGTGCTACTTCAATTTAATATTTTATTTGTGATTTAATTCCATTGGTTAAAAAAAGATTCCACTACTACATAACAGCACTGCGATCGACAAAAACTTGTAAAAAAAAAAAAAAGTGGATCCCCGAGCCTTGATATTTCTGATTCCTGATTGGTCAATTAATCCTAATATGTTTTCCACAACATCCGCACGGTTAAAATTAATTTACCCTCTGAAATCTGTTTGTTTTGAGCCTATCACGTGACATACAACATTATAAATACAAGGACACATCTTCAACTCTCTCTTTCCTCAGAAGCACAAGAATGTAATGGAAGATGCTATGACACATACGTGTGTGTACAAACACTGAATATATCTTAACTATTCAACTACATGCAACAGAAATTTTCTAACTTCAAAACCTTCTGGAGCTATAACTTACGAATCAACATGTTTTCATCTCTTCTGAATTCTTTCATATCCAACTCTCTCTCTCTCTCTCTCTCTTTATAGCAGTCTTTCTGATGTTCTTAAATGTCTGAGGAAGGTATGAAAAAATCCAGGTACCCCTGTCGGAGTTAGCTCCTCCTTAATTCCCAAATTGTCACTAGGAGTCATTCTTCCTATATTATAAATACTGTGTGACTTATCTCCTCGCTCTCTTTCCTTCAGGCCTCGTGCTGCATCCCACCTCGCATGGAGATGGGGTAAATCCTCTTTTTCATTTCTTCATTTCAGCAACTGCAATGTAAGGTCTCTTAGAAGATCCGCGTCTTCCCATTTGTGGGAGACACCATGAACATTATACACACATACATGTACATACGAACATTCACCAAAATATAAGCATCCACCAAACAGACACAAATGTTCACACGCACACAAATATTATTGTCTATGTCCATTGTAAAATTGTTTTGTTTAATACATATATTTGTTTATATATATATATATATCAGTTTTGTTTGTCTTCTTTATCTTCCATTGGACTTAATTCAAGTCTAGCCATTTTCTTGTAGTTGGACCTTTTAATAGTCTACTAGGAGTTACACATGTATCTCTAATACAAAAACATGCAACCCACATGGTCCTCTTCTAGGTATTTTCCCTTGAGTGTTGTGTCATCTCTTATTTGTTTGGAACTTTCAATGGTTCTGTATTTTAGCAAGAAAGAAGGAGACACAGAGTATAATTGAGAACCTTGTATGATTTCCCAATAAACTCTTTCTCCTCTTTGCTTCAAGATGTGAACCATGTAGTAATTACATTCCAAGTGAGGAATGGTAGTTTCCCTGGTCCATTAACGACTGAACTCTCACCCCACATTCTGACACATGGCATTCAATTATGAAGTAGGTCAAGCTGTCTGTTGGATTTTTCCAACTCAGCACAAGGCTGACTTAAGTGCAACCATAGTAACCATGCATATACTGACTTACTTCTGGATCATGAAAAAGAAAACAGACATTTCATAAGCATGTTTAACCTTCCAACAATAAAGTAAGTAGAAACTTTCATTTATTTCTTCCAACTCTGCACAAGGCTATCTACTAGGATTAGGTAGTAATAACACCATATGAAAATATACACTTTCCTCTTTACTAAGTGAGTGACAAAGAAAACTCTCTCTCCCTCTCTTCTATATATTTCCTTTCCTTCCTTCTATTGTTCCTATCCTCAGTAACAAACAAGAACCCGGATTTAGTTTATGTGGGTCAGTGAACATCATAAAAAAAATCAACCAATGACAACACATTCCGCCAAAAATCAAACAGGAAACATAGATGTGTCAGTCTCAATAAAAAGAAGAAAACCACATATGAGATGAGAGATGCCACAGTGGAGAGGAACTTCAAGGTAGCAGTTCGAGGCACAAGGGTTGGTGATTCATCGGCAGTGAGTTTGACCTGACGTACAACTCCAGAAGAGAAAGAAAAAGAAAGGATGAATGCGACGAATTAATTTCTGTCAACCAGAAGGAACACAACAACCCTGTATGAACTCTCAAATCACAAAAAAGAACTATGATGATAGTCAACCATTTTAAACACTGTAACTAAATGGGGTCAACAATAAATGATGCCATAGACAGCAAATTTGACCTTTACTTCATCTCTATATACCATACTGGTGAACCCTGATATTGAAGAGAACACTCTCCTATACTGGTGAACCACTACGTTGAAAAGAACATCCTACTATACTGGTGAACCATGACATTGAAAGAATACCCTCTACAAAAAGAGCGACATACTAGTAATTCTGGTGAACTCCCTTCAGAAAAAAAAAGAAAAACAACAAGACTGACCACATGACAAAAGCATAAATCTGGGTAAGTTACCGTTTCCTTCTCTTTCATTTCCTCTATCTTCTTGTATATTTCCGTATGGTTGTATAAAAACAATTTATAAAAATGGAGGCGCAGTAAGTCAAACCTCCACTATTTATGCAGACAACTGTCGCCGGTTGGTTCACTATAATTGAATCACAATTTCATTTGAGACAAGTGACAATCAAAGATACAAAGTTCTACAATGTAATTAGTGCCTTGTCTCCTGATATCGTTACAAACATTCCAGCCCTGTTTTAGAATCAAGAAATTATACAAAGTTCAAAGAATCAGTTGTGAATGCTTATGAAAAGGGCAGGCCAGAACTGTTAGAAAAATTAATGAAGGGGGTAATTTCTGTGGGTAAAGTACCTGAAAATCAGACAGGTTGTGAGTGGAATTAGGTAGATGGAACTATTTGGAAGCTGTTCAACTAATCATCATACCAGATGGTGTGCTCAAAAACAGATTTCCTAGCTACCCTCACAGATGGATATACTTAGAAAACTTTACTTTAAGAAAACTAAATCCAGAACTGAGGAAATAAAATAGAATGTAAGGAGATCCTATATTGTGTTGTATTGATCTCCCAAATGGCAAAAACCTGCCTAATTTAAAAATAAATACTTGAAAGTCTAACTTTAACTGTTAAATACTGTAGAGGGGCTGTGGCTGTGATGTAGAAGAAATGCATGTAAGGTTCAGATACTCCTGCTCGCCGGGCCCAACTACATAAAAAGGTTGGACTCTGATTAAGTCCAAAGAAGAAGGCAAAGAAAGCAAACAAAACACAAGACTGATAATATATGTATATACAAATATATATTAATAACAAGTTACAATACATGGAAACAGTACAAAGGACGAAGTGTATGTGAATATTCTGTATGTGCGTGCGTGTGTGAATATTCTGTATGTGCGTGTCTGTGTATTGTGCTTAGCGTGTTTCCACGCTATCTCTTGTTAGCACCTACATTTCGAGGTTGTAAGCTGAAAGCCTGATGAAAAGGAGAGATTTACCTCAAGGTGTCGGCGCACAGGCCTGAAGGAAAAAGAGAGATAGAGGTGACGGGTCAGCGGCTATTTATAGCCAGGGAAGAGAGACCCCTGGTGAAAGGGTTAATGTACTAAAGGAGGAGTTAACTCCGACAATACTGACCCATGGAAAATAGAATTTTTTCACCAAGCAGACTAGAGAATATCATTAAAAAAAAAATCTTTTTTCTATTTTCCACAATTACAGCATGTAGTCTGTGTAAAATTGTTGGCATAGTTATTGCCCAAGATAACGTAGCCATTTGGATAATTTTTTTAATTTTATCGATTATTTTGGCACTACTTAAATCTAATGTCCAACTCGTAAAAAAATTGGGGTAAATTTTTGTAGATTAGCATTCATTAAACCTTCCTCAAGTTACAACATTTGTCAGGATTATTATAAATTTAGAAAGTGGGTAATACATACATAGCCATTTTTTGTTGTTGAGGCAGGAGCAGGGCCAGGATTAATTTTGAACAAAACAAGGTGATTTCTCTTTGACAGAGGATTTGTCAACAATTTGTGGCAAAGTTTTACAAGGCTGGATGCTCTTCCAGTTGCCTAACTCAGGCATTCATGATAGTCCAAGTACACATCACTCAGAAAGTTGCCATTAAACGCTTGAGACACCAAATATACCCTTATATATATATATATATATATATATATATATATACAAAAGAGATTTGTACCCACATATTTACATAGATGTAAACAAAACGGACATCAAGTTATACCTTAGGTACCTTTCGACCAACACTTTTTCAAAGGTATACATTAACGTATACCTTTGAAAAAGTGTTTGTCGAAAGGTACCTAAGGTATAACTTGATGTCCGTTTTGTTTAAATATAATAATTTGTTGGTATATAATCCAAGGGTGAGTTATCATATGCAGGCATATCATGGTAACACTTGAAAAACACACATCAATATAATTTATAGTTAATACATAAGGTATTAAAGATTACCAGCAAAGTAGGAATAAAATAAAATAAGATATATTAATAATGTTATTAATAATATTATTAATCCTGATTAATACAATTGTA